GCTTCAGCGTACGTGGAGAACCCCAGAGCTGAATCGATCCAAGAAATGAGAGCTAACAAATCTAGCTATTTGTTACTACCGAAAAACTCACAGCCATGCAAAGGGTAAACTCAGCACCAAAAATAGCAATGAACTCTGTTAAATTATAGAAAACTTCATAAAACAAATTGTCACGCCAAGCTGAAACCACCTCGAAGATATAGGTGGAGATTGTAACTACTTCGACCAATATAAACAGTGTCAGAAAGGGAATCGATAATCACCACCCAGTAGAGCAATAAACATCCTGAGATGGAAGATAAGTAAAATTCAGTGTCAAAATCCTTATGGTGTGGTGAATGTTAAAAAACTAAGGTATTCGTCATCAAAACCCAAAATCGAATATAACTTTCACTTCTAATTTAAACCACAAGAGAATCACATGCAAAGTGGTCGGAACTTACCAAAACCCCTTTAGAGAGATCTGTTGTCCTAAAGTCCGAACTTCATCGCAAAAAATAAACCGATTACGGAGCACACCCCACTTTTAAAACCTAGAAACAATAATGACATAAAATGAGTGTAATGCAAGCAACAGCTCAAAGTCAGTGAGCATAGTTTGGCATCAAACGAAGAAAATCGCACACCTACATCTCAAAGCTAAAGTAAACTGCAATGGGTGATTGCAAACCTTCGAGACCGATTTTCACAGAACCTTACACTTTTGATTGTGTCGATGTCATTTGCGATCCTCTTACTGACCACCGGTTTTCTAAATGTGTCATGAGTCAAAACAACCATAAAACGTGTACATAAATAAACTTCTGTGAGGGGTTAATACCCAAAGTGAAAAGTTGCATCTCCGTTATGTAAAAAATTGGTTGAGTGTTGAGAGTTTACTAAAAAGCATTCAAGACGATAGTTTGGGCCGTAATTCTGCTCAAAGGACAGTTGAAACGCGACATGGTCAATTTTAAAGTGTCCAATTCAATCCAAACGATCAACGTCGCTTTAGGTGATATCCCAGCATTGGCAATAACGTTATCTGTGATTAACTCCACAATTAACAACTGAAGAGATTGCTGAGATAATTGATTTTGACAATTGGACGCATTTACCAATTTGAAGAAACCTGGGTACAATTTAAAACCAGATGAATTGCTTCTAAACGTTTTGACAGAGCAAACAACTTGAACCGTGTTTCCACAGATATTTCCCTTCTCACCCACCATCAAAATTAACAAATCTGGGGTAAAGTCGTAACTGAAGGTAAAAATGGCTTACGTTAAAGAACATAGTAAGAAAAAGAAGCTGGAAGCATAGAAACGAAATCAAATAATCTAATAAAATGTCTGAATTGTATGAAAACAATGTGCTGATGTGTCTAATGGGACTGCAAGGGACAATTTCTTACAAGTTTCTTCTATGTGGCTAAGCAAGAACTGCAGAGAAATACTGTAACTCGCTGAATCCCATGTTGAAATCTGAGCAAAACGTCCAAATTTTACTAATCTAAAGAGCGACTTCTTTCACTAGGACATCACATGCCACTCAACAGGAACGGAAAAACTTGGAACTGAAATTGGAAATCCTCCAAAACACGCCGTACCACCGCTCCTGATCTTTCCCAAACCGATTTTCAACAGATTTGTCCGGTGCAAAATGACTTAAATGGTAAAAAATTGAACCCATGGAAAGATTCAAAAGCCGCTTTATGGCTTTCTTTAGAAGGAAACAACGCTTTCGACAAGAAAACAATTGAAAGATTCGTAAAATGCTGAGACGGTTATGGAAATTACTGAGGAGTAAATTATTGATAAATAAACAATATTTTAATGACAATGTGCTGCATTTAAATTGATTTCAAAACGGGCACAAACTTTTGCAATCAAGCAATAATTGGTCTAACTAGAGATATTCGGAAACAATTGTTTTGCATGTCTCAAGAACAGGTTACGAAAAGTGGATGAAAACATTAAGCGCGCAAACAGATATACGATTTGACATATAATTACAGTGAAAGTGAGGTCACATACTAAAAAAACTACATGACAATATCGGTCAAGCCCTTAAGTTAGTCCACTTTAAAAGACCAAATAAATTTCCATAAAATGTTTCACCACCGATGCTCCTTTTAAACCAGCAGTTGAAACAAAAGTAAAATAAATTGGCGAACATTGATTTTTGAAACTCATAGAGCTCTGAAAACTGGAAAATTGCAAAATCAAAAATAGAAAGGGTTCAAACGAAACTGGTTTGGGGAAAGGTATTCTTATGACGTCTAGACTTTTTGTGCAATCAAATATTCTAGAACTGTGAAAAAAACACAGTAACGACAACAAATAGAAAAAACTGTATGAATCCAGAATTCAACGAAGACGCAAAACAACTCCTAGCAGATGTCTTGCCGGCCACGTCGTAACCCAAATAAATGAATATCTGACAAACTTTGCAACAATAGTAACGAATTGTAAAAAAAATATAATACCGACGTTCTAACCTCGGAAAGTTGTATATGTTGAAGATACGCCTTCTACTTTCTGGATGCGTTTCACCGATACCATTGGTGACAATAACCATTGAAGTTAACTACGGTTTAGGGTCTCTAAACCAATAGGAGTCAAAATAAACTACATAGGCTAAGTTGTACCTTCATTAATTGCTGCTACCATTTAAATCAAAATGCAAAACTAGATAATGCTTGCTGAAAGCTTTAAAAATTTGTTTTTTTCTGTTACTTAATGTTTGCTAACATGAAAAATTATTTGATTTATCGTCAGTAGAGTGATTTTTATCCTGATCGCGTTTTTAAATGTTCCTTGCCATTTGCTGTCGACAAAATACTGGTAAGATCGTACGTAAAAACTATGTGTAATTAATGACGTCTATAGTCAGAAAAAAACTAAGTTACTCTTGCACATAGAAAAAATTTTTAGCGCAAGTGCTAAAGCAGATGAACGCACAAAGGTTTAGGTGAGAGATTAGTTAACTACCCACTAACAAATCTGAATGTTAGATGTAATTCTGTTCTTTTTACAGGCCTGTTTTTTATCAACAAAGTGCCTCCAGCAAACTTCCACGGCCAAATTCTACATAGCCTTGTATTTTTTCTTTATTTAATCAATTGTAAAGATCATATTTATTTATCGAATGCAAAACTATGGCATTGAGTTACAACTAATAATGAGGTTGCCCATCGACCTACCTATTACGTTACAGATTTGTCTAATGAATGAATATTATGACTGCTTAATTAGCTCTAACTTATTCACATCACGACATTGTCGAGCAGAATCCCAAAGGTTGCTATGGGATGTTACCAATTAGCATTAAATTTAATTTTTGAAGTTCTATTTGTCCTAATAGCAATAATGGGCAGTATCTACGTCTAACATATATGGAATTCCCAAACCTCGGGCCTTTTGCCATGTCTGTAAAGATCAGTCATTGAATATAAAGTAACTGGGTCACTCATTGAAAATGGGTACGAATAGAGCAGCCGCTTAGTGAGTGTTTGATCATATATTAGAATTAAATGACACCGTTTGCTTAGTCTCTATCATCCACTTAAATCTGATTGAAGCCTCGATACATCCTGCAGCTAGATTCCGTTGCCTAACCGAGTCCAAATTCATTCTATATCCTTCTTCGGTCTCATGTCCTGAGGCTGATTTGAGATTCAGGAGGACTAAGCATATTCCCAATTATTGACAATAATTTGCTCTGTGATTCCTTCTTGAACCCTGGGCATGTGAAGAGGCGGACACTTTGAAAAAAAATAAACATATTTATTTTTGGTCTATTATTTTTACCTTTGCTTTCGTCCTGCTAATGTCTAAATTTTTAGAACTAATTGCTAAGTTATACGCTGTTCTAACTCAATACACGTGTAACTTTGCTTAATGGACTCTAACGCATGCCTTTAATGAAGAAACTGCAATGAAACTTTTTTGAAAATGCACACTTAGTACCTTTTTCCTTTAAGTTTGCATATCCAAGTGTTTACATTTGGCCGCTCTCTTTGAACAAAGTTGATTTCCGTGTTGTTAAATTGAGCACCACTATCTTGCTGGATGCAAACTAATTTTCCATTAATCGAGACTAGTTATTTCCACTTTTGTAAGTACATAATTATTGTGTTCTTAACATCTACATACCAAAGGCTTTATAATATAGTCTTAAAGTGATAATTACTCTATAGTTTTATAGATTAAGTAAAGGCATTTTACACGGATTCAAGTATTTCAAAGTAGCAACTTTTGAGATGGCTTGGCCAGATATTTCTCTCGAACAGGAGAAATCGATAGTTACTGGAAAACATTCCTTAAGAAGCTTATGACGGTTTTTTTCGTTATATTAACATCTTTAAAGCCCCCCGTTTAGCCTGACTGTACATTTCAGTTTTATCCATACAATAAATGCGCTCATACAGTCAGAGGCATTGTCACGTAAACTCCAGCCATTATTCATTTTAAAAGCCATGTATATGGTTTTCGCATAGAAAACTTTACTTAAATATTCAAGTCCGAATTCAACTGTAGCTAGTTTACCAAACACGGTGACTGTCAAAGTTAGTAAATTCTTTGCAATTTGAATACGTTCTTAATATATTTATTTGGCTATATCTACACAAACAGGGAATTTTGAAAGGTTTGCTTAACCACGCAAACCTCACTTCGTCGAATTTTTTTTATTTCCCACAAACTTATCTCTACATCCTTTATGTTGCCAAACTCTGTGCTTAGTCTAAGTGTGCTTACAAAATTCGAAATTTATCATTATAAGATCAATTTAATAAAATTCTAAGCAAATTTGTTGGTACCGAATTTAATTATAACTAAAAGGGGAAGTAGCAGTCGGAAGGAAAAAAGAAATTCCTCCTTGAGATTGCACAAATGACAAATTTCGGATAAATTCCTTCCAAGTGCAAACGAAATCAAAAACTTAAAGGACATTTCGAAAGAGTCTTGCATCAAGAACCATTATTTCTTCTGACGTAACTCAGCCTCGCCGGTCATCAACTAGCAGTGGTTGCAGACGAGAGGCCAATCCACAACCCAAACTATTCCATCACTTGCAACTACCGGATCTCCAATTGCCAGTGCCTAAATAGCAAAGCAAAATTAAGGCACTGATATTGCTTGTTTCTATTTATCAATAGAATTTATTCTGGTAGTCATGTAATAAATTGATTAGTTTAAGTAAAAAAACAGAACCTAGTGAAATAATAGATTAGCCAATGTTTAGATTTATCGAGCAATTTCCCTTCACTCATCCTCTCCATTGGCTGTTCTTAGTGTCATGTAAGAACGTGGAAAGGCTAGCTATCGGTGTACAATTTGTTTAAAAGATAATCAACTTAAACTGTAGTTTCAAGTCTATTGTTTTAAGTATTTTCCTCCAACCAGTTCTCTTAAATTTTATGAAAACTAACGGAAATAGAATAGCGCAGAACCAAATTACTAAATCAACTTTTCATACCCAGTGGTTGGGATCGAGGTCATCATGCCCAATGTAAGTGCTTCCGTCTAGTGTTCTCTTGATCCTGATGTCCGTCCCCGAAAGAGCTCTCAATGTCTGTACGGTTTCTGGTTCGATATTGCCATTTCTACCGGTGATCAGCTGATGCGGGATGGTATGCATTTCAAAAAGCTAACAACACAGTAGAGGTTGATGAGTAAACTCTGCAATGAAATTTTCTTTTTCATGCATATAAATTGAAAACCGTGAATTTTAGTAAACCTTAGATCCATTTTACAATTTTCGAAGGGCAATTATTAATTGCCCGGCTTTAGGAGAATCAGACCACCTCTATATATATAATGAAATGTGTGAAACACAAGTCGCAAGGATTACTTTAAAACTGCATCTGGTAAAAAGGCAATTTTCGATTTAATTTTTTGGACTTCGGAATTATCCAGTCCGTTTCTTTACGTCAACAAAAAATTCTACAATAGTCCGTGTTCTATCTCATACAAAATCCATCGACATTAAGGCGGTTACTGGACCTCCACACATTTCGTACCTAAAACACCGAGGTGTGTGAGAAGCCTGCGTGTTTATGTGCAACAACTGTGATGTGCCAGTTAACGTAATTGTTTACCTTTCTAAGCTGATCTTGTCCATAGGCGTTCTCCGAGTTTCGAGTTATCCACCCATGATTCAGTGGAGCAAAAAAGACTACGTTTGGTGACTTTCCGTTAAGGATCCTCGGGAAATCGGCCTTCTGCATCTTCTCAAAGGTTGACCTGAAAATGTGAAAATTGAATACAATTTTGCTCACTTACTCAACGTAATCCCCTTACGGGAATTTACCAACTAACCTCAGATCGGGATTTGATCTAATTACTTCGATCATGGTTTGTGTTGGAGGCGGATTGAGTGACGATACCGGATAGATTACACCACCTCTGAAGGGAATTGGCCTCGTTCCTGTGGTCTCTGCTTTTCCAAAATGTAACTAAAGGAAAATGAGAGTTGGCATGACGGTCATCTAAATGCCATGTTAACCAGAGATGGTGCACCTCCTTACCTTACTACCCTCCCTTGTGGGAATGTATTGATTCGTTACAGTTGGATGACGGCCATCGGGACTAGTGTACTTTGTGGTGAAAAGGCACTCTTGGGGGACACCAATTCCGTTGCCGTTTTTCATTTTGCATTCTCTCGATGTGAGAACGTGGTTTTGGTAGACATTGCAGGGGTGGCGTGAGAGCATACCTGAAGCTTCTAGCGTTGAAATGAAAGGGCACTTCATTTAAGGTTTTTTATTGTTAACACAAATTCAAATTTTCATTTGCTTACCACGAAGAGCATCGGTGGTAGGAAGAAGGACCACGGTGTCATCACCCGGCTGTACTTCGATGCCACAACTAGCCATTTGCCGAGCGGCCTCTTTCAAATTCGAGTCCGGGCCATTGGCCAGGCAGTTTAGAACACCACGGAAATCCATCGCTGTTAAAGGACAAATTCTAAATTACTTAAATCTAACCCTACTAATATACCTTTTGGGGTAAAAGCGATGTGGTTTCGTCCAAACTATTAGAGGAGCATGCAGATTGATAGGCAAAAATCGTGGAGTATAGCAAAGGTAAAAGAATCAAATTACTCCTCCAAATTTGACTTTATAAAGTAAGAACTCACATCCAGGGCTTTGCAAAGCGCTGTTGAACTTGTGCACTACCCCATTGCCTGCCATCATGTCCATTTTTTGGAAGGTGACCCTATTCCCGCAAGCATCCTCAAGTGCTCTTGTCCCGTCTGGCTGTTCCATACCACGAACGTACGTGTTCAATTTTGACGGACCCAATCGTCGCTTTTGTGGGTCAAGTGACAGACCACACGTGAGTCCGTCAAGTACATGCTGCCTTACTAGATCGTTCACACCCTTGTCAATGGAAACAACAAAAGATTAGACCACTTCATCACAAAATTTCAAGAATACTAATTGAACCAACCTGTGCATCATTAATGCCATATTTAGCTGATCTCCAAGCGTTATTGTTTGGCGCAAACACTGTGAATCTCTCCTTGCTATTAGCAGAACTGAGTTGACTCCGAAGGTCTGAGGGAATATCTGCTACAAACGCTGACAGGTCTGGGTCACTTTGCAGCCGCTGAAGTACTGAGCCATATTTTTCAGACGCATCAATTGGCTGCAAGGAGATTATTTCAAGACTAGAGTTACTCTAGCACCTCGCAACACCCAAACCACATCGATCTGACAGGTTCCAATGAAAAGATGTCTAGTCTGTCGGAGGGACTATGCATTAAGTCTCCACTACAAGGTGAACATGTACTCGCCCTACTTTCCCACTCTGTTGCAAACGAGTGCTTTTTTCAAGGATTTGAAACCTCCATTCAAGCGCAAACAGGCCATAGTTTTAAATCCACAACATCCATTGTCATTTGAACAAAACTTACTCTGATAGTGTATTCTGAAGACTTCAATTTGATTGTAAACTTGACAACATTAAGGACCGATATTAGTAAATTATTCTTGAAGTTGTGAGAAAGTGTAAAGAGCTTGACAAGTATGGGGGAACCTTATGTTGCATACCATGTGCTTTTAGTTCTGTCTTGAAATGCAACACGTTCCAGGTAATGCACTCAATAAAGTATGGTAAGCATCACTGTGGTCTTTTAGGTTGAAAGATTTCACATTATTCTTTCTGAAAATAGCAATATTTTAAGAAATCCACAGTTTGCAGATATTTGGAGAAGCAGTATTGTAAGGTCTGACATTACTGAATGAAGAGCGTACAAATAAGGTGTTAATTTTACAAATACTAAAACATACGCTGCTGGTCACATGAATAAGACCGTTGGATGTTTCGAAGTCCGGTTTCATCAAGAGCTGGCATTCCACAAAAACTAACTGGAAGTAAAGCAACAGAATATGTTAGTCGAGAGATAGCATATAGTTTCGTGGCTTTGTATTTCCTCAGTGTTTTTGCACTTTTAGTTGACTGTGCGAGTTGAACGTGGACAAATTTTCGGCAGGTGGCCGTCAGCTTGAGAACTGAAACTCTAACCAAATAAGTCAACATGCACTGCTTTGTTATGTTACTATGACATTTACCAAGTTTTCTATAATATATGTGAGAATTTTTCAGTAGATTTAGGGCGTCAAACAATTTTTTTACATCCGTGAGGAATCTCACTAGAAATGCACGAAGCCAATACAAGCTGCAAGATCCTAATCGTCTGTTAATGCATAGAGCCTTGGAGCACTTGGACTTACTCCATTGGGATAGGTTGAAAATTTCAGTGGGTAGCCATTCTTTGCCATAATGGTTGCTCCATTAGCAAAGTCCCCAGAATAGTGGCGTCCGTCAACAACAAGTGACTTGATATCTCTCTCTAAGCTGAAAACAAGATAGCCAGTCAAGTTGGTAACGAAAGCATTGAAAATACTTCCCACAACCACAGTTTTAGCCAAAACGATGAACATTTAATAAGTGTTGCCGATTTTTACCTACATTTTGTTTACACAATTTGCCCCACGCACTTTATTGACTCCAAACTACGAGAATTAGCCATGCCAATCTGTGCGGTTTCAAACTAACACGCGAGCTTGAAATTTGCATTTTGTGCCCATTCCTTCAGTGATTGGTCGGCTTTCTCCGGTTTTCTTATAAACGCCCCTGCCGGATTTGTCAGCTGAGCATGCAGGTGTGTCCCGATGCCCTTTTGTCCTCTTTCGCATTTGGGATTAAGGACCAGATGCCACCCATTGGTCTCCTTTTAGGGTAATGAATCATTCGACAAGTCATGGACATAGGTAAAAGAATTTCTGGAGTTTCTCGTTCAATCACTGCGAGTGACTCCTACTTTCAGCAAGAGATCCTTTATGAGTTTCGCATAAATGAGAAAAGTAAATCTTGCAATCTCTTGGTTAAAAATGTACTCCTTTAAAAATATAGTCCTTCTGCATTTCACATGTTAGCTGATTAACCAAATGTGCTGATTCCGATAGACGCGACTTGTTTTCTAAAACAAACAATACTCTGCAATGTTGGATGTGATGATCCTGTTGTGATGTTTTGTTTAAAATTCAATTACCTTAATTTTCAGGTTAATTGTTGACGGATCGTGTCTTATTTCACCATAATTATTTAATATAACGTTTTGGAGTCTGTGATGGAGTAAGTATATTGATTTTGTTTCTCAAGAATACATGTAACTGATTAGACAACTGTGGGCAGGGTTACTTGCAGCAGTCAGTGTCAAAACAGAAAAAACTTACATAGTTTGCGTGGCTGAATCCGTTTGTGGTACAAAAACAGTGAAATCCTTTCCTGTTTTCAGGTCAAGAGCTGGCTCAACCTTTTGGAAAATGTCGGCTGTCTCAATCTTCCCCATGTCCAGGAGTGTCGGAATGATTGGCATGTAGGTAGCACTCTTTTCAACACATTCATTATTAACTAATGGGGTTCTCTTATAGCCGGGACAGCAATCGTAGGTGATCTGCCTAGGAAAAAGGACCAAATTCTTACAAACCGTGATTATTCGGGTAGCTATAATCCAATATCGGGAATGAGGTACCCAAATCTAGCAAATATCGCAGCGTTACTGCATTTCAAGTTACCATACCTTATTGAATGGGAATTCAGATATTAACACTAATTAGATTTCATTCCAGTAGGCCGGGTACATTTGTACAGACCCGATATTGCCTTTCAGTTCTGCTTTGGTAAGAATAAATTTAAAATTGATTATCAATGGTCGACTCCAGTTCCACCTAAGGTCTGATAATTCGGCCACTAAGTTTCTGAAATATTCTGCGTCCAATTACGCTGAATGTAAAAGGGGTGTCGTCCATAATCCACAAAATTAACCTTCGATAATCCCGAATATGCGAGAATACATTGGAGCAAGTCTCAGGTGTTTTTTGAGACACTGGCGCGAATGAGCATCTTGGCCTTGATGTGGTCTCTCCCGCATCCTGACAGGTCGACTGGTTCATTTTGTGAGTGATCAATCAAACTACTTCGCTTTGGGACCCAATCACGCGCTTCCGGCAGCCTCCGTAATAACAATGCTTAAAATCGATGTGCATTTTTTTCAGCTGTGTGCCTTGAATGTGTTTAGCATTTTCGTGAGGGCTGTCACAATTTCACGTAATGCGAGCCAGAGAAGATGTGAAGTTCGTCAAATGCGCAAAGTGCATGAATTATAAACTTGGGGTTTTGTTACATTAAGCAATCGCATCTTCAATCTTGAATAGCAGCAGCAGTGTGCCTTGACCGTAATAAGAACTACCTGGTCAGGTACGGCAAATTGTAACACTATCGCCAAATAGATAAATTTGAAATTTAAATCTGATTTATGCATTATTCAGCCTTTAATGTGTCTTAACAAAAACCCCGTTGATTCAGTTTCCTACCTCTTGCAATGACGTACCTAAGTAGTTCTTGAAGAAATCAAAAGCTATGATTTTTAAATTTGCCTAAAAAGACAAATGCATAATCCAAGCTTTAATTAAAACAAGTTCGCGATTTATAGTTACAGTGTTTAGAACTAAGTAACCGGTTGTTGAAGGTGTTTAATTTAATACACACATGGAAGGACCCACATATACCGACATGTGAGAAACCTTAACTTAGTTCCACTGGTTATGTAATTATTTATTTTGGCACGCACTGTCTTTGTGCCAACTTGGGTCTTGCGATTCCATTAATTCGGTTCTAAAGCTTCGCGAAGATCAAGTAATAAAATGATCTGCATTTTAACTTCTGTAATAACTTATTGAGAAATTAATGTCTGCGAAAGTGACACACAAATGCAAACACGCTTCGCTGTGTCATAATAAAAAAATAACACTCCTGAGTTTGCCGCATATCTTGAATTCTGTGTGCGTAATCACCAAACAGACTCAGTTTTAGTTTGCTGTTGAAAGCTAATTAAATCTTCAGGAATTTTTATGCAAGATAGATAATGTAAAACCAGGTTAGACATAACTGTAATTTGAGAAAAGTACTTATTAATTACTTCAGTGACGCAGATAATTTGAAGTATAAATTTAACTAATTTACATCACGTGCAACGTAGTTTTCTTCGACATCAATTAGCAAAACGAAATCGAATTTGACTGCTGAGTTTACAGCACTGTCACGCTCGTTACTTTTTTTGCCTTCGACCACAGTACTTTTTGGATGCACAGCACAAAAAGTACTGCACATTCAACCTCAATGCAGTGTTCACTTAATGGTTACAGGGCCCCCAGGTAACACCGGCACTACTTTTATTTAATTAGTTCCACTCACTTTAAAACTGGGTTTGGATTGACTACGTCTGCGAAGGCAATGAGATTTAGATCTACAGCAGTCTCTTACTTTCATTATCTTCTTTTCCGCAAACGCAGAATGCTGCAGTTGTATTTTTGTCGCAGTTTCTAGGGCTTACCCTTGAGCGCCTGTTTTAAGTTCTGATTGATACTCGTTTCGTATTAGTCAGCTCACGAATTTTTTGGGGCCTATCATGTCAGTGCTGAGTTTTCCTTCAGAACGAACTTTTCTCTTTGTAAAGCTAAATATATGTTCGGCATTAATTTTTTCACCATATTTGTTATTCCTGTTTATTTGATATCAGCATTCCTTAGCGGATCTAACAGAAAAAATAGCCATGGGAGCAAGTTTCACTAATTCGAAGGACGCAACTTACTTGCTTTTAGCATCGACAAGGCCGCAAATCCAAGCCAAAACCGTTGTTCCATTAGGCTGGAGCACCTGTTTATAGGCGCATAGGTTGACTCCCCGAAACAGCTCACCGTACTCCTTTCGCTCGTACCGACTGGGCAGATTTGGTGACAGAGCCTGACTCCATACCAAGGTCACCTCCAAGAGTAAAACAAAAGAGAGAATAGCGATTCTGGTTCCACCCCGCATCTGTCCGTGAATTCTCGTGTGTGTGCCAATGAATCGGTGATATATATCACTAGTCCAGGAAGCCAGCTATCTGGCCATAGGATTGTCAAGTTCATAAACAAAGACCCTTGTTCTCTCTCGTGTGTGCGAGCGCGTGTGACTGACGTCGCAAACGATTACATGCAACACAGAAACAACCGGAAAGAGGGTACCAGCGAATGCTAAGCTGTTGTAGCTCTGTACCAGATCGAAAAGTTACACTAAAATGTGTAATATAGAGTATCTATAAAGTGTCAGTCACTAGATTATGTGCATGATCCGAAATGAACGCCTTTCCGTGTTCAAATCCATCTACAATGATTTAAAACATGTTATGTGGTCCCGGAGATTCTTTTAAGGTGTTAAAAACATGATGGGACAAGGTTAATTCAAATTCAAAATCATATAACTTGATAAGCAATTGAGGCATTGTGCGCTCCCAGATAAATCTGTATTAGAACGTGGAATTAAGGCTTTAAACATCTACTCAGTTTTATATCACACTTTCTTCCGACCCGCCCTGTTAATTGTGACTTGGGCATGCTCACCTTAGCTGTCAGTAAACCAGCAAAAATCCTGTGAGTTTGTGCTCTGCCAAGAGGTGAAAAGTGCTAAACGTAGACCAATTTTTGTAGCAGCGAATTACTTTATCGAGAGCCAGTGAGACCTTGAGTTAACATGATCCCTTACCACCCCATGATAATGACTAATGCGTGCGGACACCTTTAGGAGCCCCATGTGTCGTTGATTCAAAACGGTCTGTTTGCTTGGACCTTGTCAATTTCAACCTTCGGTCATGGAGTATAAATTTCCAGGACTCTGGCTCTCCAAGAGCCATCATGTAATTTAGTTTATTAACAGGATTTCTCTTAAACGGCCGACTTCAAGCCTGCCCGCTCAGCCTGCAAGCGGCAGTAGCAATTGGACTGAGCGGTTTACCAGACAAGGGCCGATGTTCACTGTTAGTTAGATGGCGTTTTGAGCGACTCGAAAGTCTCTATTTTGCGTGACAAACTTTGACTTTCGATTAAATGGAATGGTTTGCAATTCAATGAACAACCTATGACACCACTGTTTCCTGAATTACCATTTAGTTAATGAGAATGTGCGTTTAGCAGACAGGCATGCGTCTGTGTTTAACTGACTCACTAATGCACCCGTGGCCAATTTAAGATAAACGTATTTTCTAAACCAATGAATGGTGATGCAGTGTTCACTTATCGATGTCAGGCAGACTTAATAAATACGTGCAATTCAGAGTCTGCGCCGTAAATTAAGCCTAATAAGTAACTGGCTGCGAGAACATGGATGCGCCAGTGCTGAGTCTTTAATTGCACAAAATAGCGTCAACTCTGGCATGTAAAAGTCGACTCTCCTTGCACTCCTCAGATCCCCTGATTTCTTTTATAAATAGATACGGGAAATGCAATGAGATGAGGGCATGGACTTTTAAATTAATTTGTCAAACTGTGTACGACTTCGATGTCCCTCTAAGGCGTGCGGCTGCTACATCGGACATTAGCTGCCAAATAGAGGCAGCCTCTCTGTCACAACAAACAAAATCACTGTTTACTCGTTCATTTTTAAATCGAAACAAACAACCACGTCTCCGCTTGTCAATCAAAACCTATAAAGCCTTGAGCAAAATTAGGAGTCAGCAAAATATACGCACACGACCAGGCTTGGCAGATTAGATTTAAATGGTCCAGAAGTGGATTGAAGCTAATTTAGTGTAAAAAAGGCAGCTTCGCGGGTGGAGGTGAACCGTTGAATCCAGGAAAAGAAAATTTTGCTGAGATAAGGCTTTCAACTTGCAGCTGTTAATAAATGTAATTTAAATCTCATAGAAGGTTATTCTAATTTCTTATGCGTTCTAGTAAAATGAAGTACATTTCGCTATGAATAGAGATGCTGCCCCAGTAAAGGTAGGAATTCTTCCAATCAAAAAAGAAACCATGAAATAGAAGTTATCGCATCACACAGATCCAAGCAATGGGTGGAACAGTTATCGCGAAAACGAGAACAAAGTTTTTGGGAGGTAAATTGAGATGACAGACGATTTTTCCCTGATCAATTTAAAGTCCAATGGACCTTATACTGACTCTCATTGCTGCCAACAAAGATCCAACTTACTAAACTGACGGCTTTCTTTTGGGTTGGCATTGTCGCATCCAGATGACCAGCCCAGCAAGCATCAGCTTTTCGGGTGGTCACAAAGGTTGCGCTATTCGAGTCACCAAATCTCAGGGTCAACAAGTATACCCCAAAACCACTGAATAACATCTCTACTGCAAAGTCTCATGCATGAGTTTACATTACTAATTGTGATTTTTAGCTTTAGATACAAGCAGTCCATGAGCCTTCAGTATTAGCCACAAAGTGGGTTTCGTGTTAGTTCAACTCCGATTACAGTGTCGCATCTCTGTAATAATGGTAAGTAGGCCCTTTTCGCCAATTACAAAAAAAGATCCCATGTTTTTTCTCTGATGGCTAGCCGGATGATCACCAATTCGTTTAGTTCAGTCACCGATAGACGACAAGACGGTTACACACACTTTTCTACCGGCACTAATCAATGGTAGCCTGCAGTGGTCATATCATTGCAAACCATTGTACACGCGCGCACATAAAGCATGTAGTGAGCAGATGCCCCCAAATCAATTCAACGCACAACTATTGCTCGTTTAGAGGGCTTTCGTTGTGTAAATGCTACACACTCACGACAAACTACCAACATACGATTAGTCTGTAGCCCTTCGTATACCGTTTCTCCACCACCTCCTTCTCCTACTTCTTGGACGCAATGGCAAGTCAAGTAGGAGGGTCGTCAGGTCACACAGCACTTCACTATCGTTGAATGCAAACACCATGGCGCACTAAAACGCCCCAACCTAATTGCGGCATTTTCCAGATTCTTCGAAAAAGCAGATATTTTGGCGTTTCCACAATTGAACACTAGGGTTTTTTATTGACCACTCCTGACCTCTTTCTCCCGGTCTCTTCCTTCCGTTTGACAACCCTTAGACAGCACACATCGGAGCCGAAATCGCCGTTTAGCAGCTGGAGTGCGTGGTGTCCATCAGCCCTCCAACTTCCACCAACAAAATCGCTCAGCTTACCTTAGGTTCAAATTAGCCCCTTCTAGCTCCATCGCCAACTCCCTTTGCTTTCCCTGTCGCCCCTCAAGGCTCACTTGGAAGGACTGAATTCACTTTTTATCACCTGTGTTGAGTATTTCGTGTAAGGAACAGTTTATGCGGGGTTCTCGAAGTGAACGGCAAAGCGGAAGGTATTCCTATGAATTTCCACAACTCAACTCTTGTGGCACCCAAGTATCGGATTTCCAGACCAATCTAAGCGTTCGCAGACGCATCACAACCTCGCTGACAATTATTTATTACCCAGTCCAGTAACGGTAGACAGCACCTATTGACGTCATTTTATCACCGTATGTGGTGCCGAGTACTCCAGTGAGGGACGATACCTAGGCACCTTAATGACACTCTCAACTTTTGTAGCCACCTCTTGCATCTTTGATCATCCGAAGCACTAGTTCAATGTGCACCAAAGTAGTAGTAATCACACACTGCACCACCTACAGCAACAATTAATCACTCCAAACTGCCGCCTGTTTCGTGTGAACGAACTCATCAGACAGCATAAGAAAGCGAAGATTTCGACAAGCCTAGACGCGATGCTCTAACTCCGGTTAAGTAAATAATTCCTCATACAAATAAGCAATTATTTGTACTTACTGTTCGTCAAAACAACACTTAAGAAGAAATGAAGAAGGAGGGACTGATGGTGAGGCGTACAGCGCATTAACTCGCATGAGAGTACCAATAAATCTAGCTGTGTAGGGAACAATTAGGTTATGTATGCAAGAAACAAAGGGCACGCACATTCCAATGTACACCTTTGCCCCTGTTTACCATGGAAGTGGAGGGAAAAAACATCAGAAAAGAAAGACAGAAGAGTTCAATATACACGGAGCCGGACATGTAGTCTTTTGTTATTGCTGATTTTTGGGAGTGCCAGTCGGGGTTTCTTCGGTGGTGTCTAGCAGAGGTTTCCGAACGTTTGTACTATCGGCAGTGGATTTGAGTTGGTCCTGAAATCATAAAAGAGACTAGACACCACAGTCTACTTAAATCAACTTAAGCAGAGTGCCTTTAAAGCTTACGTTTTTAGCTGGATCGTCTCCATTAACCATGAGTACATTAGGCGGCTTGGGTCGGGGCGTGAGACCGTTGGTTTTGAATGTCTGTGAAGATGGCTCTTCTCCATCCCCCATGCCACGCGAGGTCGGTTTAAGAGTTCCGTCGGTCGGGGAGCGTACGACCCCGTCTGGGGTGGCAGAAGACTGAACCGGAGGGACGGCATTAGAAGAGGAGTCACGACGAGGAGGGGAGGGTCTTTTAGAGGCAGGGAACTTTTGCAGTCCCCTGGGTTCAGCGATCACAAAAGCACTTGACGAAGGGGAACCGTTCTGTTGCTCCCAATGCGCGCCTTCTGGCCGAAATAAACATGAGGAGCAACAATTAATAAAAATATGAGGAATTGAGCTAATCAGCCCTTCGGCAGTTCACTCAAATTATTAACAAAAGACCCTTACCGCAAAAGTGTTTCCCACAAATGACCAAGTGGATAGGCACAACTGTTGAATTGCACACATGTGCAATGAAAGCTCACGCTTGGAATTATTCGCCAATTAATTTATCACAGAACTTTAAACATTTAAAATAACGTAAGGTACTCTGTCACTTTCGCACAAGAGTTCTACTTGCATTCCAACCGATGAAAAGACTAACTTAGTGCTTTTACACATCCAATAAGATTTAAAAGCGCTAAGTCGGTCTCTTTGCCCGACTAGTAACTTACAAGCTGTGATCAATAAGTGTACCAGACAAAATAAAGCATTCGGGCAATTAAACAATAAATAACACCCTAACTTAATTCAATTTTACAATTTTATGACTCTGTTAGGCTCAATTTTGACGCAGTAAAAATGGATGAATTAGGTGAGATCAATGCATTCAATTTCTTCACAATTTTAGAAAAAAATTGTATAAATGGCTGTGCACTCGATTCGTTCACCTTCTACATAACCACACTTAGAATAGGGTGCAGGTGTGCAGATGCTCAACATTGGCGTGCAAACGAAAACACGGAAAGGGGAGAAATGCATGCGAGATTAGCAAGTTATTGCTACCCAATTCTTGTAAAGGACCGCTACAAGCCTCTCCACTGCCCGCAGGCAGTATTAACGGGGTGCAAACAGATAAGGGTCTTTGCATGGCCAATTTCGGTTGAGAAGCACCATCCGCAGCGAGGGAATTCCTCTGCTTTCCAAGGCGACTGGAGCGACGGAGATCAGCGTTGCTTGTGCAGGCATGAACCGCTTTGCGGTACAGGGAGGCTCGGCCGTTCTGATTGGCAGTCGATGGCGGGGGGATCGGGGGAAGAAGTGAGAGCGTTGACTCCGCCCAGTAGGGCCGCGACTGGACGGTGGGGGGCGAGGCGGGCGGGGGAGGGCGAGTCCCCGGAACGAGGTTAAGGGAGGAAGCTGGACGCATCGACCCATTCGAGAGTGCTTGCAGTGGGATTACTTGATTGGTGCCATTCAGCCCGACGATTCCAAACAGGCTCAGGCGCTGATCTCTGAAATCCGTCCGGCCTATTTAGGGGGCAGGAGCGATTAGGGGTAACGAGGCATGCAGGAAGAAATGGCATTATCAGGGAAAACGAACATGCCGTGAAAAAAGGGGAAGAACATCAACAACAACAAATAGAACAGCAGTGTATTGTGTTTTTCCTAGTACTCGGGAAAACCAGAATGTAAGAAAAGAATTACGTTGCATTGGCCCCGCCAATCACCCTCGACAACATTGAACTCGATTTGACCGCATGGAAGTTGAGGCAGATTTTGTGTGACAGCCTCGTATGTTTCGACGAGACAGAACAGCGAGACCTGTTTACGATAAAGGGTGCCGACTGACCGGCGCTAGCGGTGTATAGGCCGCTTAACTTTTCACATTAAATTAATGTCACCCTTAATCACGTCCGGCTCATACCCATATAGTTCGCGTGCAAAAGTTTTCCGATCTATTGCTAAAGTAGATCTAACTACTACGACTGACGTAATTATGGCGGTCAATGAAACTCCTACCCCAACAAGCCCCTTACCACGCATTTGCGAAAAAACCACATTATACTAACAATAGAAATTTTTATGGAAATCTGCACTTGAAAGCAAAACAGATCAGAGTGATGGATGCGAGATAACAACTTCAAGGACCGTGGTGCGTAAGCATGCTCAAACGACACGCATGTTGTGCTTTCACCATTTCATAATTTCATGGGTTTCGCACTCATGAAGCAAAAAAACACTCACCTGAAGCTGAGAGGTTGCCCACACTGTTTCTCGATCGATAGAACAGTGGCGTAATCGCTTCGGGAGGAACGTGGTGGGGTTGGATGACTTGCGAACGCCTGACACAAGCCGCCGATTGCGGGTAAACATAGAAAATGGGTTGCTGAGACGTTTGCGGAGGCAGCAGCACAGGTTGTTGCTGCTGTTGGTGCTGTTGTGGCTGCCTTTGTCCCCCACTCTGAACCGAAAATTGGTCCGAACCAGACCCAAGAGAGATGCGATCGGAGGTCATGGTGTTGGAAGAGCCAGGGCGGTGGTAGGCGCCGGGTGTCGTCACAAGGTGCGCCTGAGAGAGGTGCTGGGGTGTTATGGGGTTGGCGCCATAGGATGACTTGTGATGAATTGATGGATCCAGGAAACTTCGACGAGTCATCGTTGAGGAGGCAGGAACGTGGCCTACTGCTGGAACAGGTGATATGGTGCTGCCAGCAGCACCGCCGCCTACAAGTAGCATCGTATCCAATTAGTGCCGGTAAGATAGTGATAGCCAATTCTTCGATATTCATAATATATCTTTAATATATTTTAGGAATCGCTAGTCGACAAGGCATGAAAATTCGATTAATGACATATTTCAAAACATGATCTGCCAATGACCGTCTTCCGAACAGTTATCAGTCGGTCGTGCAACAAGACTCGCTGAGACTTCTACTTTTGTACGTTAAAAAGAGGACAGCGCCATGTTGGTGCAGATTTAGAATGAGAGAGTTCGAATACTTCATTACCACTGCTGCAGACTAATTTAATTTAAATTGACGTCTGCTTAAATCAGGACGGATCCTATAAACCCACTCTGCCGCGCTATGAAAGTTAGTCCGAATGGAAAACTACACACTCGCCTTCATGACCATTAAAAAGCGCCTTAAACAGAACTTTCTAAAAAGACCGCCGACTGTTTGAGCGAACTAGATTTCAACTGACTCTACCGCTTAGAGGGTAAAATGAGAGAAAGAGAGACGTATTGCGTCGATATGAAATCACACGCATCTAGCAGCTGGTAAGTAGAACGCACATATTGACCCATCTGAGGACAGAAGAACAAGGCCAAACAGCTGCGCGGTTCCCGCACCTGGCTATCTGCCAACTCACCTAAGTACAGCATCTGAACCGGCTCTCCTGGCGGTCCACCCACTACGCTGCTCGGCCGCAGAACCATTAAGCGTCCGCTGTCGTCCACAAGGTAGGACTGTCTCCGGACATCAGAAGTTAGGAGGTGTCCGCTGGGGTTGAGAATCATCGAACCGCCCATACCTGTTCTCGAGGGGGAATAGTTCACGGAGCTATCCCCACCATCTGGCAGCATCCGGGCCGTCTCCAGCAGCTTCATTTTCTGCTGCTGTTGGTAAGGACTCGTCCCCACCACCTTGCCACCCCATGGTATGAACGACGAGTTGGTGTGACAGGCGTTTCGCGAAACGTAGAAGTTGGATGAACGTCGCCGGAAGCAGCAAGTGAGCACGATGACTGTTACGACAGCGAGGAGAAAGATCAGAGCAAAAATACCGGCGATGATGTAGCCGTGCATTAGGGTCAGCCCGAGGGCGTTCGAATCAGGCTTTAGTGGGGTGAGGTTCTGCAAAGAAAATAGAAACCCAATAATGTTGACCGTCAATTTAACAACGTACCGATGTGTTGAACTGGTATTAATGGTTACCAACTACGAAAAAACTAGTTTAATTGGAACAATGAACGATAAATAGATCTAAGCAATTTAAAAAATGATACAAAATGAATGAGTTGATAACATGGCTGATTTACTGAGGATACATCTCAGAGTACGAAATGCGTGGGACGTACAAAGCAAAAGGGACTTAAAAGTAGAATACGGGTCTAGTTTATTAAAGACAAGGTTTTTTGACTTTGATTCCGTTACAGCCACTCTCATTACTATTTTTGCTTTTACCCTACCGGTTTCTAGAAAACGCATGAAACAGCTTACGCTGGTCGACAAACATGGAAAAACTAGAAATAATGGTCAGCATTTTACAAAAATTGAGCAAAAAGTGCCAAAATGGCTAGGGAAAGTTTCCAGACTTAAAAATCAGCGAAAATCAAGGTCGTGTTGGCAAGAAAACATGGCGATGAAAGCCCTTACCCACGTAGTGAGAAGGTTTTAATTAATTATCGGTAATAAAAAAACACCCTACCACGTATAATAGCCACGTTTGACCCGATTTGGTCAAGTAGACATGGGTAAAGCGGACGTCCACACGCGATAGTTCGGCCAGCTGAGTGAAGCGACTGGCGCTGGCATTTTGAACGACGCAAATGCTCTAATTACTTTGACCTTTGGTGGCTCGATCAGTGCGTACAGCGCACTCGCAGGGCGTGGATGATGACATGTTTGAAAAAAATGTCACCAACGTGAGTGCTCAAATGACACGAACGTAAGCCTAACGCAGTCATCTGCCTCGAATACTACTCGCGAGCGATTTAAGTTGTATCTACATTCGGTTGGCTTCTCCACTTGCCACAGCAGATGTAACAAACACGAAATACGCTTATATTGGCAGACTGAGAGGCTTCGAGTGAAGACTTGATTAATTGGTCTAATTGATTTAAAAACTGGACACAACAAGGGCAAATTAAGTGGTAACAAAGATGAAACCTTCAGGAAGTCTCTCAGCGACCAATTCACTTCAATAGTCATGTTTTTTTGCACAAAATTGGTGATTACTTGCATGTGTAGACCAACCTTGTTGAATGGACCACAGCACATAAAACATAGACGAGAAAGTGTTAATAAAGAAATGTAAAATTAGTTGAGATTTTCGATTCACTATTGGGACATTGGTTAAATAAGCCACGATGTTGTCAGGCCATCTGTTCTGTGGAACAACAGCGACTCCAAAAAAAGTTGTTACTTTTACTAACAGTAACACGAATAGGGCGATGAACACTTAGCATTGCACGAAGGAAAATAAATCCATTCAAAATGGGCTAATCGAAACTTGCCCTGATTTGGCAATTTCTGCCAGCATAGCCGAGGCTGCAGTTGCATTGATAGGAGCCCGGCAGATTGATGCAGACACCTCGGTGCGATGCGTAAGGGTTGCACAGAGGATTAGCAGATTGGGCAGAGACATTGTCGCCGACGTCATCGGCAAAGGCCTCCGAGGCAAGAAGACACTCGTCGAGATCGTGCTCACAACGGCCTCCACGCCAGCCAAGGGGGCACGCGCAGAAGGGCCCACTCGGGGCATCCTGGCACCGCGCACCGTGGTGGCACACCGGCGATTGGTGGGACAGCAGGGCCTCGGCGTGGGCACACGCACTACTCCCATTGGCTGCGTCGGAGCGGTCGCAGTGGGCACCGGAAAACCCGGGTGGACACACACACGTGTAGCTCGTAGGCTGACCGGGCATTCGCGTGCCAACACTTCGACAACTACAAATTTGAAATGCCTGAAGTTAACCTCGAAATGCGATTGCATTTCAAATGCTCAAAATGAAAACTAAAAGTGACCGGTGATGCGAATATCCGACGGACCCATACAAAGATGGAGGGACTTGTTTATGTACGTGTGATTCATTGGAGTGGAGCTAAAATGAAACACGCTAGGTGCTTAAAATAATTCCATGTCCGCTTGGTGCGGACAAGAAACGAATTCCGGGGAATTTAGATAGAAAAAGTAAATTTCGCCTTTTTGGGATCTTTAATAACAAGACTTCTACTAATGGGTTGACAAAAATTTGTATTAATTAAACAGGAACTTAAAATCCACAGCATGTGCTAAAACTGGTAGCATTAACAGTATTAAACTAACACTTTGAGCTTGTTCCCGTTACGAGCAGGGGAGTTAGACTGTGTGATTTAAAACGCTAAAACGATTAGTTGTGTGTGCTATCGTGGCTTTTGGTGCCATAAGCCCCCGCCATAAACGACTTGGGGTTTTTTTAAAACTTCGTTGTCAGAGTTTCAAGGAGCTCTACTCGTTGTTATTGCAGCGACCGTCTAGAACTACCCAAGAGGAGCAATACTTCGAGTAGTAGCGAAAACGAGGCCGTGGAAGCGAAACAGCAGCAACACTGTTATTCTGTTGGTGAGTTTTTCTAAGCAAATGAAATGTTTAACAGAAACATTGTTTCGGAGTAAGGATATCCGTCAGAATATATTTGCATTCAAAACAAAGTGCCTATAAAACTTCCCACCACATCCAAGAAAGACCTTCTTAAAAAACTCAAATCAATCTATATGTGAGCCCCAGAAGACACCAGAGTGTGTGAACAGGAAGCCTTCAAAGCGCAAAGTGGAAAATCGTGGGAGACGAATGTCCTCAAACAGATGTGCCACAAACCTACCTAGCGCCATTGCGGCACGGCTGCAATGCGCACGGGTCGGTGACCACCTCGCACCGAGGACCTTGGAAGTCGCGTTGGCACGTACAGTTGAAGTCGGACGGGCCGACGGCCGCAGGACCCTTGCCGAGCTGCGAAAAGGCGAGTGCACGGTGCGAGACGCAGGTGCCGCCGTTTCGGCAGGGCGCGTACGCACACGACCCGTCGTATGTCGCCCTTGCTAAACAGTGGTAATCGAGGTTTAGCGTCCGAACCACCTGCAATGCTGGCACACCTCCGACTGGCAGCTGCCCGTCAGGGACTCCAGCAATTGGTTTGTGATTTTGACGCGAGAAGAGCACGGTTTGTTGGGGAGTTAAACCCAGTTGGTACGGTGGCTTCACACGATCAATAAGGACGTTCCTTATACAACCTAGAAGTGAGAAACCAGTGGCTTAAGTGTTTCTACTGCAAAAAGCTGCTTGGATTTTGTCAAGGGCTCACCGACAAAACCGGATCTCAATACAGCCGGAGGTGCGGAGTAGTTGAAGTTTGGCCACGCAGCATCCAACGGTTCATCAGGCGTTGTGGCGACCCAGTCTTTGGGGAAAAAAACCTCAGGGAGAGGGCGGAATCCGTGGACCAATTCAGCACCAAACAGGACATCCTGGCTCTCTGTGTCACCAGGGGCCCAATCGACATTTTCTAAGTATGTATGTATTCCATCAATCGTTAGTTCAGCCCACCATTGGAGATCTGTAAGAAAACAGTGGGATTGGCACCAATTCATGATTATTGGGAATTTCCAAACCAAGGTCAAATAATTTACCAGATTGTTCGGAAGCACTTGCGAAAAGAGTGAACCTCACCCGATGCCAGTGGCCATCGTTTAGCCGAGGGGTACCTGAAACGAGCCAGTCGGTTGTGGGGACACCGCTAACGAAATCGACAGGAGACACTGCCAAATTTCCGTTCTCGATCAGACGAATGCGGAGTGAACGCAGGACGTTCCAGTTGATTGACAAGAGGGGTCCGCTTTGTTGACGGGTGCGGATGGAAAATGCAATTTCGATTTTGTGCTCACCAGGTTTAGCAACTTGCCAGTGAATAAAACTGCCTCCAGTAAACTGAAGTGGCCCATTTTCTGAAAACCATAATTGATTTCTTAATGAGATCCAAATTTTCAAGACTTTGCATTCAGTTTGGAAAAAAACAGAGGAAAACTTAATGCAATTCAACTTCATGAAGTTGTGATCAAGCGCGCTGAAATACAGTTCTCTTTGCACACGATCTTTCCGCGCAATCGTCAACCTCAGAACTAGATTGAATCGCCTGCACCCATTAAAAGGAAAAATTAATAAGGTTTTAAGCTTCGAAGACACTATATGAAGTGATATATTTGCCCTGTGTGCCTCACATCTACGTAAATTTGTTCCGTGCATTGACGAATTTACGTCGCACAATGTCTGTGATCAGCAAACTCGCAATTGTCGTTGAAATATTCAATGCTCCTCCAACTGTTCTGCTACACTTAGATCCACACATTTTAGTAGATGCAGATAAATGCAAAAGTAGAGAGAGAGAGAGGGTAATCCCAGTAATAGCAATGGAATCTGTCTCTGACAAATCACCTCTCGACACGAACTAATGAATGCGGTGTCACATCGCTCGCAGTAAACACCTGCTGAATACACCCTCGCGGATGTGACGAAAATTAGTAACAGATTCTATTAGCTCCTCACTGCTCTTTTTGATGCTATCTCAACTCGATAACAGGTGAGCCTCGCACTGCAGTGCCTTTTAATGCAGCAGTTTAAGTGAAACAAACACAGTTAAGTGCCCTCGCTAAATTCCGTTCTACTTTAAAATATTGGAGTGGCGTACTTTTCCAAGCTACTCGAATATACCAGTCACAGTGAGAGATTTTGTTGAGCGTCTTAAAGAACATCGGAGAAGTCATTTGATGAGTTAGTTAGCAAGACAGTAACTAATTAAGAAGGGGAAGGTTAAAAATACAGCAATTGCTTTACTAACATATTAAACACCGACTTAATATATTTAAGTATCCCAAATTTATACGGATGAATTAAAAAACTAATTCCAATTGTTGAACGCTCTAGAAGAAAAGAACTAAGGGGTTACGAGGTTGGTTACTAATACAGTTGGAGGGATACCTGCCGGCTTTTAAGGGCTGATCAAGAATCACGAAATATTACACCAAAGTACATACAAAAGACACGGTAAATCATCAAGCTTGTACTAATTTAAATAAAAATGTCACTGTGAAGGCGGGTAATGAAGTGCAACAAATCAATACTCCTTTAAATTGATCCAATCTTATCCCCAGTCCTGTTGCATTTACAGCATGGTTTCATCTGATTCGCGTAACGCTCCGCTTTCACACCTTCCTAATGACAAAGACACCTCGAAAATGCTTTACTAGTTCAAATGCCTGGTTGATTAAAACCGAACAGAGTAGGACGGCAGTGGAATTTCCCGGTTGAAGCAACAGAAGGCGCCTACCTCTTTGTTGGAAGCAGGTCTCAGAGAAGCAGGCCTTGGGGTCGGCCGAAGGGCGGTTGAGCACCTCGCAGTTGGCGCCAGTCAAGGGGGGCGGGCACACGCAGGCGTGGACGCCTGGGGCGGTGGGGGAGGCCACGCAGACGCGGGGCGCCCTGCAGGCCACCGAGGCGCACACGCTCAGGGGCCGGTCACAGGCGCCGCCTGCGAAGTTGGCAGGGCAGCGGCAGGTCGCGAGGAGGGCGAAGCGCGGGCTCACGTGGCTCACACCGTGCACTTCGAAGACGTTCGGCTCCGATTGCGCGTCCAGAATGACCCGTGTTACGCAGCTCCCTGACTCGCATTTCTAATGATGGTTAAAACCAAAGGATTTGGACATCGTGAGAGGCAGAAGATGCACGCGAAGTTAATGTTAACAAGAAACACCAGTAAAAGCAGAAATGACGTCTGGATGAACACGCTTATCCCACCAGCATCAATGAAGTGCCACAAGAAGTATACCCAAACGAAGAAAAAATAATGCATCGTTATGTGCATCTGTTGTGCTAATCAGCTTACAGATTGGATGAGTTGATAATGTCCGTCCATCAGGAAAATACTTTTGCGGAAGTGTTGGTAAACGCCAAGTTAGCTGTCAGTGGCAGCTTTCCATCGCGTGCTGGCTACCTGAAGAGCATCACCATGGCCGGATTGAAAGCCCAAGCACCGTTCAAGTCATGCATTCACGATTAGTTAAATAAAGGCGTTTCTCCCACGAAAAAGAAATAATCGCGCTAAAATCTCATCGTGTAGCTACTTTGAAACGATAATTTAGAGCAAGTAAAACGCTTGCCAAGGCTTTGTAAATTGTGAACTGTCAAATGAATCCAAAGAAAACTCAGGACAGGGCGCCCTTAAGAAACTCTCAGCACCATACTAAAGTCAGCAGATTTCATCGGCGAAAATTCACCAATTACTACGATTTGACCACAGCTCACCTTCAAAAGGCGGAGCGGCCACATTGGCTGGTCTTTCTAACTTGGAGAGAACATTTAAACGTGTGTAGAAGACTCGAATCAACCCAGTGAAACGGAGTTAGTAAAGGACCAGAGACGGCAAGACCAATTTGAGTAGCCAAAAAGGAAACCAACAGCGAATTTTACCGACAGGAAGTTGCTATATGGGTGTTATATACTTAAAAATATTTATAAGGATAGCGAGCTTGGACAAAGAAGACGCCTCAGCAGAAATTTAAATTTCCGCAAAATGAAGGGTAGCAAGTTGTCTGAAAAGGTACCTTCTGCGCACAAAGGCTGTTGAAAGCATGGACTTGATGTCCGACAATGCGTGATAGATTTGCTTGCATGGCGTGAATACTCTGAACCAAGTGTCCCGGCTCGATGAAACTTCTTTCCAAGGGGTCGTAGACGGCGATTAGAAGATCCACCCCACCGCCGCCACCACCACCGACACTCCGCTTCTCCCGTCGTAAAAACATCGACGACTGCTGAGCCGAGATGATGTACACGTTGCTGTTTAGCGAGGCATCGCGCGCGGATGGGTCGAGTAGGAGACTCCGGGCTAGTTCTTCCTTGATGACTGTGTCAAGGTGCAGGATGAAAAGTTCGTTTGGCGACAACTCAGAGACGTGGAGAACGCAGGCGGATTCGAGCATCTCTTCAGTTACAGTGATAACCTGAACAGAAGACACTGAGTCTCTTACAAAAAGTTGCAGGTTGACATAAAGATGCAACCGGAATTACTGAAAAAGGCTTTTGTTCATTGCATCAGGTGCCTGCGGTCTAAATCGTTCCATTTTTTAAGTACATACACCGGGTACAAGCCCAAGCATCTCATCAGCCCCATAAATGGTCAGAGGCTTGTTAATTAAGATTGGTAATTTCAAAGTTCTTGATCCAAGCCTCTAGTTAGGCAAGATTATGTATATTTTCGGCAACCACGGCAAAGCAGGAAATACTTGACGTGATTATATTTTGATTCTAAACTTGAGCGAAGCAAGGACTTCGGTTCGCTTTTACTTTGACGCTTCAAGATAACTCCCACTGATTCATATTACAATTAGACATGAATCGACCAATGGAAATCAACTTACAAACAAGGCCAGTGCTAAGAAAGTCCCCTTAACTAAAATAAATTTTGTTTTTTAACACCTCAACAGCTTCCAGCTGACTTGTTTTTGTGAAAAACGACTCGGTTTTGCCAATGGCGTTTCCAGTTCCAACGTCGCTTATCGCACGATGCATGGGCCAAGGTCCGAGGATATTCACAAAATTAAACCGACCACGACTAAATTGGATTAGAGCAGTGAAGATTTGCCAGCTTTGGTAATTGCATCAACTTAAGTATCACGTTGGAGAGAAGAGTGTCGCAACACTTGCAGTTTAATGCAGAAAAAAGAAACGAAACAGCATGCCAGTCGATTTAGCGAAACTTACTGCTTACCATCACCTAACCAGTCACACTCAATGAAAAAGGAAAAAAATTAAATAAAATTCGGTTTGGACTCCAGTTCTCATCCACTGTGAAATTTCGTTCAATGAATTAAGCAAAAAATTTTATTGTGTTTTGGCAAATCCACTCCAAACAATGGTCTCTAACTAGAACCTAAAAGGTGCGTCTACTTCATAATGCAAAAATTTAGGCCTAACAACTGCTTCAATAAGTCTGAAGAAAAAAACAGTTCTATGTCTAGAAAACTGGGAACAAGACATCTGTAGTTTTTGCCTACATTATCGATGCTCAGGGTAATTAAATAATTCGTTTTCAAGGTGATGCCACCCATCGCAACCGGTGAATTATAGACCTATGTGCAAACATGAATTTGTTTGCTCACTCTTGCAATGTTTAAGAATACAACTCAGAACAAACCTTCACAAACATGGTGTCATTAGTACTAAGCGACCCATTGGTGACTTTAACTTGGAGCCTATAATCGCCAGAGTTGACTTGGGCGGCAGGTGGTAGTTTCGGCAGAGCAGGCTCCAGCCAAGAGACGGAGGGGTCTGACTGGGGAGGAGGCGCAGTCACGGACCGCCCCGGCTCCAACCGAGGTCTCAACCGAATACTCCCATCGTATTGATCTATCACAAACTGTGGAGCCGCCGGTTCGAGGAGTTCGAAGAAAAGTTGATCGTAGGCCGTCCGATCGCGGACCGTCACTCGCATCACCGGGACGTCATGTAACTTCTGGGACTTGGTGGACGTCATGGAATGACCAAGGTCAAAACGAGGCCCCAAGGAGGATCCAGTGATGTTGCGAAACACCACAAGAGTCGAATTGGAACTGACGATTTCCGGAGGTAGGTTAGATTGACGCGAAACGTGAACTGTAAGTGTTGCGGTCGACTGAAGAGCAGTCATTCCGTTGTCATAGACGTGAACTACCAAACTCTTGCTTCCGAGCTGCAAGTAATAAAGCAGAGCAGAGTGATTTTAGATCAAGTTTACTTATGGAATCGGCCACCATATCAAGCAAGTGAAAAGCTCAAAATTGTGGATTTAGCACAGTCGACAGGACATGTGGTAAATTATTAATCCGCCAAATAGACTAAAATAATGGAGGTCAGTCTTTGGTAACTTTTAACGCAACGCGATTTAGGCATTCGACGCACCGGTAAGATGCGTGCTGCATAAACTGAACAAAATCCCGTCTGGTGGGGCTCAAGCCCCCGGAAAGAGGGTGGGGCTGTGGTGTCATTTGAGGGGAGGGTCGGGTTCGAGCGGACCGAAAAGAGCGGTGCTGAACTGTCCCGGAGGGCTGTGGGGGACACCACGAATCCAGATAGCTCACACCTAAACGGCCCTGCGTTGGGGAAGGTGTCCAAATCCGTCACCGCCAAATGACTCAAAAGAACTTCATCGGCATTCAGCTGCGAGATGTTTCTCAAGTCCTATAAAATGGGGGGAATATTTGCGAATCATTGGCGAAACGTTCTATATACTGATAACGCGCGCGGCATTTTCTCAAACAAAAACACAAGAATCCACAAACACACTTCCGTACACCAAATCAATACCTAAACTGGAAAAGTATACTTCCAAAACCAACTTAAGCAAATTACCTTCCTAGAATTAGCTCCTTCGAGACTCAAATATTTTACTATAAATAAGGAATAGCCTATTTTATGTTCGACACAGACTCTGGCCTCTGAGCAGTTTTGTTGGAAGGAAGAAGGAGAACGACTCCACATAGAAGTCTAGAGGCGTGTTCTAGACACTTTTGGGTCCCACTGACGGTTCAACAAGCCTTCCAGTCAGGTTGCTGTATCGGCGGACGAAAGGCACCTTTGTGCGCGCTTGCCAGACACGAGGAGTGCTGTGACTAGACAGAGACCCGCTTGCGGAGACCCACACACACACACGAACCACAAACGCTGGGGTAGGCCACGAAATCCCACTAACAAGCATTGTTTGGGTAAGCAATAAAATTTGACCAGAGGTACCCGTAGCAAAATGCTGCGGGCGAAAAGCGAGTTCTGTACTCCCTAAATTATCCACGAGGCGGTTTCGTCAGCCAACAAACAGTGAGCACAAAGCAAAAATATGCTTAAAATTGACATCAAAGTTAAAGTGGAAGACTCACGCTTGGTTCATTCGTAGCCACAATATTTCCATTGCGATCGACCTGTGCAGAAGGTAGGAAGGAAAACGATTACTTTCCTTCTTCAAAAAATAGAAAATGTTCACAACGTTACAGTTAGGCATCAAAAGTAAAACCAGAATCCAAGGAAGTAATAACTTGGCACAAACAGATTCATTAAGTTTGTAATATTGCATATTATTAAGGATTCAAGACCACTATCATTCTTTTAACAGGCAGTGTCACCTAAAAGCATGCCCATCAATCTCCTGAAAATTTCCTTAAGTTTAACGCGTATTTTTAAACCTGCCTTGTTAGAAATTTATGCTGGAAGGGACACACATTTCCTTCTGAAAATTCTCCGTTTTATCCAAAAGCAAGTTATTAAAAACATGAAATTAATTACAAACAAATGCGTTAATATTATGCAAAAACTTAAAAACCGAAACTAAAAATGGCAAATTTAATTACAGGTAGACAAAAATACCACTTATCAAATTAAAAATTTGCTTAAACACACTCCACCTGGCCAATATGAGGCAAATTTAACGAGACTATGGCAGGCAAATGAGAGGCACAACGAGCACATGCCTAGAAATCTTATGTAGATTAGAATAGAAGTTGATACAATAAATTCGTGGGGATATTTCACCATTAGTAAGTAATGACCTGTTAAACCATTGCACCGAAACACTAAATGGAGGACTGTATAAAATATACAATCGATTTAACGGTCCGGGAAATTATGAGACATTCTATTTTTAATCGGATGATCCCAAAATGTGCTGGAATTGGTGTGAGGGTTAGAGGATTGGTCACATCACAGACATGCTGAGATTAAGGTTAAAAATGGTCATGCTTGACAACTCGCAAGATAAAGGGAGCAAACCTTACCTGGACATAAACCTCGAAGTTGCCCCTCTCAAAGTGCGGCTGACAGTCGTTTGTGTCACGAATAATGACCCGGACCTCAGTCATCGCCGATTGCACCGGGTCGCCGTGGTCGGAGACGCAAACAGCGAACCGGTACTCTGACACTTCTTCCCGATCGGGTGTAAAGAGGAAGGAAAGTTCGCCCTTGGACTCCCCGATGCGGAAGAGACGGGAGACTGCCGGAGGCTGAGGAGCGCTGGGGTATGTAAACACCACATCGGGCTGTCGATTGGGGTCGCAAAATGCGTATGAAAGACGGCCGTTCACACCGGAATCTGCATCTCCAGCTGTTATCTGCAGAAGGAAATACACCAAGAGTTCATCATTTGGGAAGTGTGAGGATGAAAAGCGAGCATACGAGCTTCCACACACAATGATCTGTCTAAATAACAATGAGAAGACAAAAGTTATTGTGCACATGGCTTTTCAACAGTAGTCGACTTCCACTGCTATACTTGTAAAGTTTATTCGTTGGCCGACTGGATGATTTTATTTTTTTTTCTATACGCTTTCCGCCGCTTTCGATTCACTTTGATGGGAAACGGAAACATGCAGTAAAACAATCTGTTGATTTATCGACCCTGCGGCTTCCTTTTAACTTATTTAATACGATTACTAGTAGCAAGTTTGGTGGAAATCGGAATGACCACCAGAGTTGTCGGACAAAACCACGCTCCAGAAGTCAGTCCCGGTGGCACTGGCTTAAACAACTAACAGATGCATTCAAAGCGTCAGAACACTACTAGAAACACAGCGACCATTTTAGTTGACGCAAATTCAACCAAAATGTGCATTGACTAGCAGGTGTGAAAAGCAGTCGAGTCTCAGCCAAGGTTATGACGACGCTGAATAACCACAGAATGTAGCAGCCTGACCAATGAAGAAACGAAGTGCTAGTTGCTTCCACCTGCACCACCGAATCAGGGAGTTGTCATTGTCAGTCAAATTGCCAAGGCCAGTATGGGCGGGAGTACCAAACATCATGACGGAAGCGGGGTTGGGTGGGTGAAGAGGTATTGCTGGGAGGTAACAACGTTTGCGACTGATCACTTAAGTCAACCCAACGAGAGATTTACTTAAATAATGAGAATGGAAGGAGAAACAATCAAAGTGCATCGAGTAGTAAGAAATGGGAGGGAGTTCCAAGCATCGTAGCAGGTGCGGATGCCGTGGTGGCCTTGATATCGAGTCGAATCACAGGAGCAGGCACGTGGCACTAAAGGGACTAGTCTTCACCCATTCGACAGGAAAGTGTCATGCAGAGGTTTTAGAGAGAAAAAAAGATAAGCCTGAAAACAGTCTCGATTTCGATAAAAACTGGTGCGCAGTGCACGGACAAGAGTAAAAAAGACTGATAATATCTCACTAAAAGCCAATTTTCTTTTGAGTGCATTAGCTTTTAAACCTACAAACTTTCGAAATGAAGACGCTGTGGAGAAGCATCAAGTTTCACATTCCTCCAGTAGACATAATAGGGAAATTACCAAGAAGGCATGTGAGAGCAAGTGAAAAAAAAAGCAAAACTGAGCCAAATAAGAAGACATTGAAGGCTCATGTTGGTAAGGTGGATCACCCTTATTGGCAATATGCCCAGTTGGACTGCGAATGCAATCGGCTGTGCCAATTAAAGATTTCTGACTGGTTACAGAGCTGACTATAGGATCTATCGGCTCTCCGTTGAACATCTGATATTTAAAATAAGTGGCCCAGTTGTAGACATTATCCAAACATAAACATTCTTTGCTATAACTTTGCCTTTGCTTGGGATTCTTAATGCAGATTCAAGGAGCCAACGACGTAGAAGATGCGGAGTTGTAGTCAGCAAAGTGGTGTGGTGGTAAATATGGACCACATAACTGTAGTCGACCCTGAACTAACAAATCTCATAACATTGCAGAGTACTAAACAACTTTGATGATAACGTCGCGATACCTATAATATTGGTTTCAATCTGCAAATCAATTTGTGTAGGAATACCATGTTAGAAAAATAAAATTGAATTCACGTAGACACGGGCACACGAAGGACGCGAACAAGAGGCAGTGTTACGATAATGTCCACTTGCCCGACCAATCTGCGTCCCAACTGGACTGTTCTCGTAGGCCTCGAAAGTGAATAGCCCAACATGGCTGTCGGTGGAAGCAGTGTGGTTGTCTGCGAGGGGCAGCGAATCCTGCCCGATGAAGTATGGCCTGTTGTCGTTAACGTCGATCACGTTGATTGTCGCGATGGTTGTGGAACTCAGCGGTGGTGAACCCCCGTCCTTGGCCTCGATGGTCAGGAAAAAGCGCGGAGTGTGCTCGTAGTCCAGGGCGCTGGTTAGGTAAAGCTCACCTAAATTGACCAGAGGGCTTTCAATTCACTGTCGTGTGTTTCGAGTTTATACAGTAGTACTTCCTGATCTAGATCCAGGACTTGGCTTGGCTTAAACTTCACAGTTAGATGGTAGTTGAGCATTAAGGTCAAAATACAATGGATAAATGAGTCCATATTGGGCTCCAACAGTACATGCTGGTCACATGGACCTTCCTCCTCAGTAGAACACATTTATAATTGTCAGATAATATACTTGATTATGAATTTGTAAAAGTGTGAAGGTTTGTCTTTGCAAGGACCTTGCACCGAGCAACAAGCGAGCACAGTTAGCAGCCATGCGCGAAAACGAATCAATCGAATTTCGTGAATGCACTTCACGCAACTTCGTTTGTTCAGAGATCGATGCTTAGCAGATCTATATAAACGCACCTGGTATCCTGTACTGACACACCTCGCTACTGCTTCAATAAATTAGTTGAGCGACTCGCCATCTGCATTTTCTGACTTTTTTTCGGTCGGGCTGTGTCAATGTAGATTTTCGGCCCTGGTGTGGTTTTCAAAACCGCACCGGGACCTACTGCAGGCTTAAATTTCACAGTTAGATGGTATTTAAGCATTAAGGTCATGTTTACATACCTTATTATTAATAGAAAACGTCAAACCCGTGTGCGATGATGATTTCAGAAGGATTTACAGATTGCATTTATTTGTTTTCACAATAAAAGGGTAAATATAAAGTGAGAAGATTAATATGGGCTTTTGGCACAAATATTCTAACACTGACTGTATCTTTTGAATTTAACTTTTGTCCTGTCTACCTAAAATAAGCAGATGAAATGAACCCTTTCAAATTTATCTGCCGTAAGGACGATTGAGCGACGTTTTAGGGCTTTAGGCGAACGAGGGATTCCACAGGGACAAATAAAGCCAGAAATTTTCTGATCGCGGGAATCCGTCGTACAAAAAAGAATAAGCATCGCGTAGGGAAAAACAACCACCATAATGGGTACAAATATTTGGGCAAATAGAAGTTGGGCTAACTGCAATTGTGGTTGGTGAAACTAGAAATGTCAAATTTGTGGCCACTGATTTGCGAGTCGAATATCCTACCTCACAAGGTGTCTCGCCTAAATACAGAGGTAAGAGGAAATCCGGTGGCACGACTCAGCTCATCAGTGAGCTACACTCTGAGGCAACATGACTTTCTGCTGAATTTTCTTAAAACCAAATTCCTTGTTGATTTCGGTGTTTTCCGCTAATCATTGACGGGGACTGATTTAAACCTTAGGAGGTGGAATTGGCAGGACTGCGACATTCACATGCAGTGCTCATTAAATTACAAAGGTTAGTTTTTTTAAGAAATTTGCTTAAGGCCATGTTTTTCTTAAACATTACAAGATTTTAATGCAATAAGGTAAAATTTACGATGAACATTTACGCGCTACACACACGTTGAAGGCTGTCAATGTGGTCATAAATAATCCAGTTATGGAAGACAAAAAACCCAGTGTGTGCATGACAATAATGCGGATTGGCAGCCCAACAGATCTGGTAAGTGGAGGCTGAAATCCACCAATATTTTCGGATTTTTAAAAGCAGTCGAGGTTACAAATGCAGCCTGACTGCAGGAGCACCAAGGAATAATATTTGGAAACATTTTGACGTGCTGCAATGATCGACCTCGTGTGGGCCTGTGGCTTCGGATCGGTGGATTCCCACGTACTTTATTGTACATGCATGGGATTTTTATTACAAGAAGTGAGACCTAATTTTCTTGACACAAGTAACTACGTCATAAACAGTAAATGCACTAGTAGCTTGCACGAAATTTCGCTCATGCATTTCTTCTTTCGGAAAACATGCTGTCTTCGGAAGACATAAATACCGAATAATTTAAGCCGCAAAACACAAAAAATTAGACATCTGCAGTTACGTCATCTAACACCAGCTGCCCATATTTCACACTGAGACGGTTCTGAGATGAAACTCTATGAGAGGACTGTTGATTCCGGAAATCAAGAAAGTAAAACATTTGTTTTTGAAATGAAAATTAGAGTACTGCGTTAGACTTGAACGGGGTAGTTAGACCTTTAAAATTGGGAAAAAAAACTCCAAAAAGTGAGTATTAAATTTGTTCTTAGCGAGATCCGGCTAAAACCAGATGTACTTTGCCAAAGCAGTACAACACGCAGCGTAACACGGCCATCTTCGACACACGACTCGAATTAGGCTTACTTGCAGCTTGTGAGCCTGAGTAATGCATATTGCTTGTTCAAGATTTCAAGATTTTATGCCCAGATGAACATTGTGATGACTTTGATAATGTGTATGTGAGATTTTAGAGTCGATCAAAGCTCATGTAAATTGTTTGTTTTAATAGTTTTGCGTCTGTAACTTGATTTGACACATACAAAATGCAGTAGTTGGGACCGGCCATTTTGTCCATCACGACGCCAATTTAGTGAACGAAGTCGACTTCCTAAAAATGAGGGACTCGAACCCATGTCGGAGCAACCGATGTCTTCCCCAGGACAATGAAAGCGCCTAACACAATGAGGATCCAACTGGTCGTTAGGTGGCTCAACCAAATAGCGTCTGTAGATGTGTGCACGTAGGGGTAATGTTTGTTGGCGAGCGTACTTAGTAGGGAGGCCTAGTGGCAAAGAGAGGCTGTGAAGTATTCATGTCGATGGGTGACGCAGATGTGGGGTAGTAAAGGTAAAAGTTCACGGGATGATCAATAAATAGGGGCTTGCTTAGGCAGATGTGGTGGACGTGCATTGACAGCCCGGCAAACCAAGTGCACACAAAACCCTAGCAATAAAAACATGGCCAGGTGTGAAGGTGCCTGTGTTTAAACAATAAATCAATTCCTTGATTCGGTGTCAGACATAGTCACATGATTTACGACTTATTTCGTTTCACCGAGGTTAGTGAAGGCAAAACATGGTCGTGGCTGACTGGGAGCGGTGCCAAGTCGTTCTGAATGAGTGCCATTCAAGTCAGATCGATAGATATTGAGGTCATTTGTAGACGAGGCCGCAGTCATGCTACCCGAAACCCCGACAGACCTGAAAACAGGTTGAGTGCGGCCCCACCAGCTCCTCGTGTCAGCAGTGAGAGCATCTGACAAAAGGAGAGGTACGGCATATCACACCGCTAAATTGGCATTGGTTTCAAAGCCGTAAAACAGCTATATATACCAGTAAAACTCATGTTATTAAGCGCAATCGATTAAGGGATAAAATTCCACCTTAGCAATTGAGTCGAATAACAGAAAGGTGTCTACAGAGTAAGACTCTACCGCCTGGTACATCCTTTAAAAAGCGACTGAGTCTGGGGTAATTGGAAGGAACGTACCAGTGGTAGAGTTGAGGGTGAATTCCGGTTGGTCTTCGAGCAGTCGATACCTCACCACAGCATTTTCGCCCTCGTCCAAGCTGATGGCCGTCAGCTGCATGACGAGGCTCCCGACCGGTGTGAGCTCGGAGACGCTGGCGTGCGGTCGAGGCTCGGTGAACTGCGGCGGCGAGTCGTTCACGTCCACGAGGCGGATCGTCACGCTGGCGGTCGCCGTGTGACGACGATGGGGGCGGTGGGAGGGGTGCCTGCGGGGCTGAAGAGCACCTCCGTCGGCGACGACAACGACGAGCTCGTGCACCGCGAGTGTCTCGCGGTCAAGCGGCTGAGCCACGCGGAGAAGGCCTGAGCTCTTGTCCACGGAGAAATTGGCGTTTGTTGGCGTCGCGAGACTGTACTCTAGACCGTTCGCGTCGACTAAAATCACATCAAGCAGGGCAGGACCAATGAAAACGCTAGGAATGCATACGAGCACGCAAACCACCTCTGAAAAAGGGATTGGTTCTGATTGGCTTTAGGGGAGCATTTAAACTAAAGCAGAAGATCGAGGAAGTGACGGGCTTTTCAAGTTGTGGGATTTGACAAAAACAATCAATTACACATTTTGAGTGCATCACACTAATGGCGAAATGGTCTTTTAAATTATCTAAATTGATTTAAACTTTACATGCCAATTGAGATTAAACTTCATTTTATCATCCATATCATCCCTATTACTTTTTTTCAAGTAAAAGGTAGCGAAATACACACTGGATCCACGATATCCAATGAGAACTCATATCTTATTTGGTTAAAGATGTTGCTTACCGGAATCGGCATCCGTCGCATGAACTTTTCCTATCAAGCTACCAACCGGGGCATCTTCAGGAACCGGGGTGATTGTGATTGGTTGCTCAAAAACGGGTGCATTATCGTTGACATCCAGAACGTAAACGTGGAGGTTGTAGTGACAAAACTGACTATCCTTGTCCCTAGCGTCAACTTTCAGGAAGTAGGATTTTTTCGTCTCGTAGTCCAATTTCCATGCCAAGGTTACAACTCCGGAATTGGCGTCGACATTAAAGACGGCGACGTCATCTTGACGCTCCGAAAGATGGTAAGTAAGGACCGAGTGTTCATCGAGAACATCTGCATCCGTGGCGTTTAGACGGAAGAGTACCGTACCAGGTGGGGCTGATTCCAAAACCTCGGTCTCCCGGTCGGGCTTAGTGCAGAGAGATGCCGATTTAAAATACAGCCTACTTATGGATTTTTAAGTATATAGTGTATAGCGAGAAACTCACGACATGACAAACAGGGGAATTGTCATTGATGTCATCGACGAGAATTTTAAGTTCAAACGGGCGGCTGGTTGCATGAACGCCATCAAAAGCTTTTACGAGCAACACGTAACTTTCAGACGATTCTGCATCCAGCGGAGTCCGCACATACACCTTGCCAGTCGTTGAAATGGCGAATTGCTGGACGCTGCCTCCAACTTGATAAAACTTCATGAGAGCACTGTCTGACCTAGAGTCGCTGTCTTTGATCGGAAACGTAAAAACCGGTTGGTTTGGCACTTGGTTTTCTAGGACATGAATTTCAGAGGAGGGCGAGTCCTCAGCGATTTCTCCGCGGGCCTGCCATTCAGGCGGGGTGTCATTTAGATCGAAGACTTCAATTGTGAGGAAGACAACTGAGGTGTGGTCAAAAGTATCCGACACCGTGACCTAGTTAAAATTACCACAAATGAATGCGTGTTGATAGGAAAAAAAGCACAAACACATTAATGACACTCACAGTGAGCTCATATAGAGGTGTTGCTTCGCGATCAATTGATCCAGTTACCATCACCCAACCGTCGGAATCGATTGAAAATGGAATGAACGATGGGTCGGAAATAAAGCCAGACTTCTGTCGAAGAGAGTACGATAGAAGGCCCTTATCAGCGGCATCACAGTCATGAGCAACAAATCGGTAAACACGTTTACCAGGGGGAAGATTTTCAGGCACGCGGATTCGTGATCTAAATTAAAACGGATTACTAACCGTGCCGTAAGTAGGAGGGTTGCGTGTGTGTAAGACGTACTTGAGATCCGATTGCAAGACGGGCGAGCAATCATTGACATCCTCCACCTCAATACTCACGCGACTTACGGCGATGAGGGGAGCGCGGAGGTCGGTGTCGCTAGGGGAAACACGATACTGAACGACGAGGTCGTGTGAGGGCTGCGCCTCGTAGTCGAGCTGGCGAGTGGCGTGGATGACGCCGGTTTGGGGATCGATTATAAAGGAACTGAGGGAATCACGAGCGCCCAGAAGTGACCACGTACCCGCTACGCTGGAACCATTTGTGAGTTGGCAACGGGCAACCGGTTCGTCCAGGTCATAAGTAGCCTAAGAACCACAAAGTGCTACAGGAAGTCGGGCAATTTTAGCAGGTTTTGTAATCGAGACTCATTCTAAGATGGAATTTCGTGAAACCCAATGAAAAAAAAATGAAATTATGTGTTTATCTGGAGCGCTTCGCCAACGTTCAGTGATATGACGGCGTGGTTTATGTGTGCATGGGTCTTTCTGACACACTGACCTGCGATATATTTTGTAACTGCATGTCTAGATGTAAACGTGGCAGCAGACAAAAGTACACCACCAATTTAAAAGTGACTATCGCATGATCGCGTATCCTTGCAACACCGCACTCAACCAGCGAGAACATCCAGACACCTGACTCAGTTTTAGTAGCAAAGGTGAACCACAGTTCGAAGTTAGCCAGTTTTGTTGTGATGTTCGAGAAGATTCACGACAGCTACACCTTCCTGGGTGAAACGTGTTTCTCAGGGGAGGGGAGCAAGATGATAACGGTGTCATTCTGTGAGCGATATGAGGTTTTCAAGCCTATTAGCCGATCGATTGTATCTAGTGGGGACAACGCGTGAAACTACTGGAGAACGGGACAAGGTACTTTGAATCCGTCAACGCTGGCATCGGACATTCTCCCTTCAACTGTGTCAGCGACTCAAAACCTCGCCGAGTTGTGATTGCACAACAGGCGAATTTGCGGAACGAAATTCCATTTCGTGTGTTGGAACACTCGAAAATGTCAATAAACTGATATCATCGCTGATGCAGACACGATGCTGCCACAGTGCACAATCACACAACCCAACCCGCTAATCGAGGGTAGCACAAATTGTTTTCTGGCTTTGCAGCACCGAACTGCTGTTCGACAGCGCACTGGACAACACCGAAAAAAGATTTACACACAGGTTCACCCACAACTCTGTTCCTCTAAGCAAAAATCCTGCACTGCTAGCAGTTTCCTACCTACTGTGGTTTTTCAAATGCGTGGTTATCGCCAAAATCGCTGATAGGGGACATTATTATCCAATTTATCAACAATATTCAGTGAAAACATATGCGCCAGTCCATTAGAACTGTTAATTAGCATCAGTTATGGTTGTCAGTAATAGATAAAAACACATGGTTCATAAACCGTTGTAAGGAGCATTTCAACTAATCACCGCATATTAATTACGCTTTCGGAAAACACCTCCACGAACCCAACGTAAGTTCAACTATCTTTTGTGATTTAAAAGATTAACGTGCTTGCATCACGCAACTACACAAAACTTTCATTCATGGTATGCACGTTTCATCAGATTAACTAAAGTTGATGACATTTGGGGTACTCGAGTTGCAAGGGGACCAAATTTACGGGGTGGCATTTACTCGGTCAGACCTACCTCCGTGACGGACACAGCACTGCAAGAGGCAGCAACCTTCCAAGGAAGCTCCACGTCAGCCATGTAGATGGTTACGCCCACCGGTTCGGAACAAAGTGGCCTCGCGCCTTCTGGCTGATCACAGGCCTCAACGAAGAAGCCGAAGTCACCGGTGCCGGGCGTCAGCGGTTTCGTCAAGAGAATATCTCCACTTTGCGAGTCAATGGCGAATGGAAAGGCAGTTGAGTTGGTGTGCTGCGTTAGCAGACGATAGGTTATTCGGGAGTTGGCGCCGGTGTCTGCATCGTGAGCACTTATGCGCAGTGGAAGACGCAGCTCCCCGGCTGGCACAAATGTCATCCACCTGTTGCCGCTGTACTCGCTGGGCGAAAAAGTGATCTAAAGGTGATTGAACAACAGCAGCTGTTTTAGGAGACGATCTGCCAATTAGCTCCACAGGCGAGTTCGACCTCTTTGATATGAATACTTTTGCTGGATCACGTTTACCTTTGTATCACTATTTATGAATAGAAAATAATTAATTATCCGACCAAAATGACGCAAGAGAACAATGTGAGACTGCTGGTCAAATTCATACCGGCAGGAAAAACGTGGAACTAAGTAGAGATGACAACATGCTTTACAAAAAATCGCTCAAAAACGGCTAGTGCCTTTACCCCGACGATTCTGCAAATCTACACAGACACATTCGATGCGTGAATAAGAACTGAATTGCGCGACATTTTCAAATAATGCAAAACTACCCCTTAATTCGCGGTGTCACAACTGAGATGATTTGAAGTGCGCAGAAAGTGCAAGTCATAACTGCACAAATCGTGACAGTGAAATACTGTGGAGTTGCTTTAAGAATTCATAATTGTTTGGTTAAAGTGAGGCGACCGCTATTTGACTCACCTGCTCTATCGCAACGAGTTTTGTGTTTTAGCGCCAGGTGGACATTAATTATCCAGGTTATAGTACATTGAAACAAGTTGTCTGTGTTTTGGACAACCTGTGAACAAATACATGCACATTAGTGTGAGTTGACCTTTGGAGTAACCGTGCATTGCACAACACATGTGGGTGGTTGGCCGAGGCGGCGGAAAAATGCCAACCACAGAAATGCCATTCACTACGTGAATCGCGTCGCACCCCGCAAAACTGCCGGGCCAGTTGCTCACGCGTTGGCCAGGAGGGGGTGGGGGGCAGGAGAAAGGTTAACGCGCTTGCCCCACTTTTTAGGGCTTGCAGGCATGCCTTGGGCTGATCACACACTACAGGTGGGTGCCGAAAGGATCACAGATTACGATACTTTGACGGTCTTCCAGCGATTTACGGAGGCGGACTGAGGGAAGAATGTGGGGAGAAATTAGCGCACATGTAAAGAAGAAGTTGCCCTTTCGTGACATGGGGGCCAGGCGAAGAATCGGGTGCGGCGGTAATGATTTCTTCGCAAATCCCCAAAGTTCACGCATGCCACTGGATTTGACGAAGTCGAACACACAAGTGTGTGGTAGGCTGATTAACGTGCGAATGGACAGAGAACACACGATTGTTGATAATGAGTTGTCCCAAATTCAGACAGGCACAGGTCCTGTCTGGAATCTAACAGCAAAGCCTGTTCTTTATGTGGCAGTACGTTTACTGCACCGTGCGTGGGTAGGTCTCGAGTTTACGGCAAAACAGACTCTTGTTTAAACAGTTAGAGGAAGGGGCACTTTAGTATGTTCTTCTACATTTCAGCTACCATCACCGACACCATTATTTTAAACACATAAACTAGCCGTCAACAAACGCACAACACCTGCGGTCCCCATCTTGCACCCGCGCCTTTTGTTTTCGTTTAGTTTACTTTTGAGGGAAGAGGCATCAACGCTGCCACTCGGCTAGATGCAGGCCCCAAGTGGAAGAAGATTCAGAGCAAAAAGTGCGCTGGTCTTCGCCTTCGTGCCTTGCCCTTCTTTTTCAGCCGAGCAGCCATTAAGCTCTGTGCCAGTGCATGTCAAAATCCGTCTTTTTACAGGGCGATTACCATGATAGATGCGGTGAACGTAAAACACATGAGTATGCAACACTTCGGGTGGAGAGGGAATGCCAACAGCGAATCAAATTAAGGCAAGTGCAGAATACCCGATCGTTTGCCTAGTGGCCCAAAAGATAACAAAATGGGTAATAATTAATTCGAAGACGCAGAAACGAGGTGCAAAGGATAAAAAAACACACTGAATTAATAAATACAAACAAAATAAAAGTGGTGAAAATTAGACGTCGACGACGATTCAACATCTGAAGTCGGAACAAACATTCACCTCTCCGCAACCACGCATAACATAAAGCGGGATGCGTGGGAGAGGACTGTACGTTCCAAACTGAAGGTTAGACAAGGAATGATGGCAACTAGGCATTCAGTAGGACTGCGTTCGTGAAAACTGCATGTGATTGTGTATTTGGAGACCTGATTGTTGGCACACATTCATTCCTTAAAATCAGTCCATGTGAAACCATGTGATTCCATGACACATGTTTTAATTAGACTGTTGTTGAAGGTTTCCAGTGCGTTTTCTACTTTCTACCTTGAGATAATTTCTGATTTTTGAATTTAGGACAGTGTTGTGGTCACTGTAAGTCCTTCCTTAAAGTTAGAGGTTATCAACCCATTTCACATGGGAGATCGTCTACACACCCCAGCAAAGCAATTTCATAACTCGAAAGAAAGTGAGTTTAAGAAAACCTAAATATGAAGGGCCGTCATTCTCTCAAAAATTGCCTCAAATTAGCAATTAATGTAGATTTTGAAAAAGTAAGCATCTGTTTTGAAAGTCCCAAATATAAACCTGGTCACCTATCACTTGCTTTGTATACGCTGAGCAATGTTGTCACAAATGGCCAATAGTTTCTTCCAAAAACAATGATGCTGTTTTGCTTCAAGTAAATTTCCCCGCACTTTAAACCTTGTTTAGTACATGTAGGATTACTGAAGTGGCGATTATTAAACTAAGAAAGCATACATGAGCCTAACGATTTCACTTGATACTGTTTCGACTTCACTTAACAAGTTATTTGACAAAACACTGTGCTCTGGTTGTTGGCCGCACCAATGCTTCATTTTGCCGGGACACAGTCTGGGTTCGGGACATCCTTGACACAGTGAGAATTCAAGAGCGCAACGTCTGCAATGCTGGAGATATTTCGCTTCGACAACAAAGCACAGACGCATAACCGAGTAATCCAACCACGTGACATCCTTCGTGTCGAGTGAGGAGGGCTGTAGACACGAGAGATCTGCCGTCTCGTTGCGTTGTGCCGATTAGGCAGGTGAGGAAAAAGCTTTGCGCATGAGTTGGCGGATTTAGGGAAAGCCGACAGACCTGCGATGAGTCACTCTCAGTAACAAGATACAATAGAGCATGGCGGAACGGAAACAGTTGGACACAAACAATCCCCTAACGTAACCAACACGCGTGTCCACATCCCTATACTTCGTTTACACATTTAGATGCAAACCAACTGAGGAAAATCGACAGATGATGCTGTGAAGTGCCGTGCACGCCTCGGATGCAGGCAATACTTAACAGTCAGAATAGGCGACCCAAACAAGAGGCTAGGGTTAAATCAGGCAAATTGGACGGGGGTTCGTCCTATACCATCCTCTACCCTCATAACGCACCCGCACAGATGCACTTGTCACAAAATTTTGTTGTCTAGTTAGCTGAAGACAATTTGGGATCAAGTGTGAGTAGAGAAGACCCGGGGAGTACGGTGTGCCTCACCTCGTATCTGATTTGCTCCATTACTGGCGCGTTGTCGTTGGCATCCGTCACGACGACATCGAGAGTTGTGAAGTCCGACAAACCGCCCAAATCAGAGGCCATTATTGTGAGCGCATAAAAGTCGGTCGTTTCGCGATCCAAGGGTGCCACCAGCGTCAGGTCGCCTGACATTTTAAAGAGAAAATATGCTACTCTTAGTGAGTTAATTAGGTAAGGAATCAAGCATTCACTTAACCGACGGAACAAAATTTTTAAGTTCAACAAACGCACGAACCATTCAGAGGAGAGAGATTACCTGTTTTTGGGTCAAGTTTGAAAGTGTGGTTGGCGTTATTAAGCAGGGTGTAGGTGATCTCTCCGAACCGCCCGATGTCCGCGTCTAGAGCTGGACCGATCTGGACGATGTGACTTCCAACAGGGAGAGCTTCAGAAACCTCGACTCGCCGTCCACCACCACCACCAACTGGAGGGAAGTGGGGTGCGTTCCAGTTGTCAGGTGACACATTCACATCCACCTTACAGGTTGCTAAGTGAATCCCATCAGAGACTTCAACCTATGAGGAAATTGCGTTAGTTTAGGCTAAGACAACAGCCCAATCACTTTGCTGCACCGGACTAAGATAAATTCCTGATGGTTAGAGTTGATAACAAACTACAATTATTGTGCCTAACAAGCTCAGCAGTATCTCTATCACCAGTACAAATTTCGGTTCGGCCATTTAGATGAAGGCCACGTCGTACATTTTGCGTAGGCTCACCTCGAATGAAAGACCGGCACCATCTCCACGGTTGCCGGCCTCGAAGGCAAGGAGGGCTTTAGCCAGTCTGTTCTGCCCATCGGGCGTTTGAGGTGGTCGCCAATAGACGGATCCGTTCATGCTATCGATATGGAACATTTCGTCGCTCGATGGCAATACACGGTAAGTGAGAGTGTCGTTGACGTCAACGTCAGAAGCAAGGAGCTGAAGGACGAAGGAGTCAGTGGGAGCGATTGCGGTGATTGTCACCTCACGACGACAAGCGAATTCCGAAACTTGAGTGGAATCGGGGTCCAGGTCGAATCGGGGAGGATTGTCATTCGCGTCGAGGATTGTGAGCTGCGGTAAAAGTGAGGATGTACTTACACTCTTCACACTCTCAACACCACTGAAGAGAGTAAACTAATTCAGCACCGACTGGATGTTTATGGCGTTACTTAAAATATGCCCTGATCATATGAAATACGTAAAACCATCTGTTAATAACCCCAAAAGTACTGCACGTATGAGAGCCAACCGCAAAATTAATGTCAAATGTTCCCCACAAAGGCCCGCTAAACTAACTGTTAAGTCCGGTGATTGTACACTAATCACTTATGAACTGTTAGCGCATTGGACGCGGTGAGAACACCTCCCTTTTCACACCGTCCCCAAGCGGCTTTCTTTCGGTTAGATTAAACGCGCACAACGGACGCCAAGGGAGTATTGAGCGACCCACATCCTGGGTTGACGACAGCATTATGACCCCAACTTACTAATCCCCTGAGCAAGTTAAATGTGCTTACTAGTCGACCCAAGACTGAAAGGCTTAAGTCGAGTGACCACAAATAAAGTATTTTTAAGAAGTTCAGACAGTTGCTTGAGAAGTTGGGAACTCAAGGTTGACCCACTCTACTATTTAAATGTTTCATCCACGCTTGCAGAGGCTTGTATAAATTCCCAGCAGAAGAAAACAACCCTAAGATATCACTTCAAGACGGCAGTTACAATTATGAAAAGGGCAGACGGAGAGGATGGAAATGAGAGCGCTATCAATTGCTGCTTTGTACATGCCACGTTCAACAAGAAAGAAAAAAGCTACATTTTCAACACGTGGGCACAACTAAGCCTGAACGACTGACGAGACGATACACCCCATCAAACCCCTCAGATGTGAATGTGTGTGTGTGCGCGCGTGGGGAAGAGGTGGAACTGAAACCACATCGCCTAACCCCCATCCTCCCATCCCCGTTGCACGTGCACTAACGTGAACGCGCGCGCACGCACACCGTGATGAATCACCTGAACAAGCGAGTTAAAAAGGAATGCATCAAAACCACCCTCAATTACCAGAATCGAGTGTTCCGTCGATTTATTCCCATTATGAAAAAAAGCGTTGTGCCTGAATAAAGCACTGCCTACTTAAGCCATAATTAATATGACTAAAATTGGTGGTTTTGAGGTGCATCCTAATGGGATTTTCCTCGCCTAATTGCAAGATAAGACTTTGGAAAGAAATGTCGTTTAGTAATGTGCGTTGATCCAGGTGCAACATACTATGAAAATGCAAAGGTTAGCTGCCAATCAATCTACTTTTCCAGTAATGAAAGAATACAATTGACGTGAGGAGATTGGTGCAGAAGGTCAATCATTGTCTCATAAAGACGCGGGAAACGGGGAAAATCAAATATTCAGACTTTCAGGTGTGTGGCATAACAGGATCGAAGCATACGTCCAAGTGGTGTTTCTGTCGTCAGAGAGATTACACCACGTTTGGTTTTAGACAAATTATATTCTTACTAGAATGTTTGTTTTCATGAGAGAGCATGTCATTTAGTCGACAACTATGAGTTGGCTAGTGTATAAGCTTACCAGGTGATGCAAGGGAACAGGCAAAATGCAGTACATTGCACAGAGAGCATCAACACAGAACAGAGGACACAACGCCTCGAGTAATTCAGTGATAAATACGTTAATGGTGATCGCGATCAGGAGGTGCAAAAGACAGACGATTAGTTTTACTTCGTGGATGCAAACACAGGAAATTGAGAGAGCTGCTATCAGACCAGCCTAGAGTAAAACTGGGTGTCCTCCCACCTCCCCTTCACTAACACCTGAGCGCTCGTGTAGGCTCAAAACGGCTTACAACCAACCATCAGGCGGTTGCTACAACCCAAGTCACCAGCCTCCACATTGCGCACGACAAGCCTCACGCGCGGATAAGCGCACATGCTTGAGGAATGAGTCAGTATCAAGCGACACGAAAACGATGTTCCTTTTTTGGCTTACACCTTAAAAAAGCACTCCACTACCTCCGAAGCAAAATTTGTCTGCAGCCACAAGTTTCCCATAAATTGGCTAAAGAGACTTGTCCAAAATATGAGCGTGTTCGAGTGTCGAACGAATCGACTAAGAAAACAAAGGTGAGGTGGAGCATTCCGAGTTACAACCAAATACCACCTCCTGTGAATTCTAAATGATTGAGGTGTATGGCGTTCGTGGTTAATTGTGAGATGGAACAAGCTAATACCTAGTGCATAAAGCTAAACAAGTTGTGTGCGTTAATTGAACGTGGGCGTTACAACTAGCAAGTGCTTCTTACAATTGTAGAAATAAATTAACGGGAAGAGTCATAAACGACCGCGTATTCCATCCCATCCTACCTTCCAATCATCTCTACGTAAAAATGCATTAACACAGGGACTGGTAGTGGCAACTAAGTGTTTTAATCCCACTGAACAGATCCCTTCGTGGTTAACGGCAGTGTTGAGGACATTGGACCCCGGCATTTTCGTCTATGTCTCCGGCTAAAATGCTATTTGGTAAAACGCCAAGACCAAGCAGCTGTCAGTAATAGGTCATGAGATCAGTGAACTGGAAAAGACACATGGCGATCACCCCTAAGAGTGCCTGGTCGGGATAGTGAATCCACGAGTAGACGTGGACCACTGTTTCGCATAGCAAGAGACCATCTAATGTGTAGCAAGAATATACATGCAACGAGTCGACCAGGGCCAGAAACGACAAGGCAAACAAGTAGGACCAGGGGACCACTGTGCAACAGCACTCACCCCAGAAATTATGCGATTGCCTGTAGATAAGCACTTGGATTAATAGCGAGACTAGTGCTGGACGAAAGCCTACTTATTGCACAAACTACAAGCACAACTTCTCATTACTTGTTTAGCCGGTTGTTTTTGACGAATGTGTCTTGCTGTTACCCCTTCCCTTATTACGGTGCTACTACTATGTGGTTGAGGAGCGATGTTAAGAGCACTCAAGAGTGTTGGGATTCATTCGCAGTTATCATCTGGATTGATAAAACACACGGGTTCCATGGTAGCAACTTTGTTAAAATAAACGAACCTCTACGATAGACCTGCCAAATAGTGGAGGCGAGCCACCATCGACGGCGACGATCCAAAACGTCAGCGACCTCTGCTGCTCGAAGTCTAGTTTCTCCGAGATCCGAATAGCACCACTGAGTGGATCGATCCCTAGCCCTGGGACCGATGAATTCGGTCCGATCACCGCTTCAAAATCAGCCAAAGGTCGAAGATAGTATCGCAACTAAAATGCAAAAAGTACCACTCTGATCGTTTCAAATCAGTTTAATGGGGGCGTAATTATAAATAATTGAAGAGCAAAGAAGGGTGGACGATGCTATTTGTAGTCACATTTATTGAGCTGAAGAAGTACAAATACGACTCAGATACACTCCTTGCGTTTACGAATCAAAGTTAATTACTCAAATGAGAATTTTGCATTTCGCGAGCAAACGTATTTGGCATTCAATATGTTGTTGCTGAATCCAAATAAAAGCCAAAGAGCCCTACTGACAATATACACAGAACATAACGTGGCAAGAGTGAATATTGCGGCAAGGAATTGGCTGAAAATGTCCCGGGAATGTTTCACATTAAGAATGGGCCTTCTAAATATAAAAGTTGCAAATCTGTTAGATTGTGGAAATGACAGAAACCATTCAATCTGTTCTAAAACGCTTTGCATCAACTTTGGGTTGTCAATCCGAGGTACATGTGGTTTGATTATGTGACAGGACCAACCACGAATGCATGAAGACAGAGAGACAGCCTCAAAACAGGCAGAAATTAAGAAAGGTGGAGGTTTGACTGTTTGTCTAGACTTGAGATTGAAACCACCCTGAATACCTGTTAAACGATCTGGACATGAATATAACCCAGCACGTCGGAATTGAAATCATCACCAGTGTTTGCGAGAAAGAATCAAATCACAAGGTGGTGATGGATGGTGTTTGGGCCAAATGATTCCACGACGAGCGATGGCACATTTGCCGGACGTTACGATGATGAAAACGATAGTTGTGAGAGAAGGCCTGCGCCAAACAATTTGAATAAACAGAACAAAAATCATTCGCGCTTTTTAGTTATGCCTTTAAAGGAATCCCTGGAATTGATGGGATGCGACACGAAATCAGTGAACAACAGTGAGAAAATTCCTACAAACTCGTCCTCGTAGCTGCACAAATAAATCTCAAACACCAGACCTGTTTGAAGAGCCGTTCTGGGGAGCGAATTGTCACTGACACTTATCTGATCGCATTACAGTGAAGATGAGCGTCCCACCCAAAAGAAGTGCTGTTCTTTTTGGGAACGATGTCTTTAAATCACGGCTATGCAGTAGGGGTGGATGAAACAACACGGACTTGTGTATTGCCACTGTCCTGAGTGTGGGGTCTTAGTTATGAAGACGGTACGACTCGGTAGACATCACAATTCGAATCCACTATTTGATCCAGACAATTAGTGCACGAAATCGTCACAAGTGGAACATAACGTCACACATGCGTTTCGCCTGCTTGACACGCCACTGGTTTAGGTTGTAAACTCATTTTACACAGAACCAATTTACCCGCCCCCCCTCATATAAAATCTAGTGTCTGTCATACGACACACCAGTGTCGCGTAAGGGAAGGCCTCAAACTTGCTTGACAGCGTCGGTTCGTTCAGAGCGTTCATCAGCAGCACAAAAATGGAGGTGTAGCCAGTTAGCTGTTTTAGACCCTCCCTTTCCAGACAATTAACGTGCGAAAATCACGCCTAACGACAGATGGACAAGGGCTAGGGCTTCGCTGTTTGATGTAATCGAGAGAGGAAGCAAGGTGCACCTGTGGAGTGAGAGAGACTGTCTTCACACCATTATCACAAAGGCTCTATCTGCCGGCCGCAAATAAATTAGCCGCCAACAGCCAGACTGGGCTTAGTCAGCACCAGTAATTTTCTTTCATCTTGGGCTTGAAAGTCAAAGTAAAGTTACACGAAATTGACGAGTTGTTTTTTTTTTAAATTTGGGAGATTCTATTTCAGCCATCCACTTTGAAGCAAAATATCAGCCAATTTTACGCAGGCGAGACAGAAATTTCCCACACATTAACATGAGCGTTAACAAAAATAGCTGATTAAAATGTTTATAATAACTGGCAGAGGGGGTGTTCTAACAATAGGGATTAGGGAAAAAGATTAAATCGCACAGCAACCGGCATACCTGCCCGTTTACTCCCGGATCCGCATCGGTTGCCAGAAACGAGGGGTGAAGGGGGATAATTGTGCCGACGTCTTCCGATTCGGAAACCACGGCCTTGTAAACAGGCACTGGAAATACCGGTCGTTCGTCATTTACGTCCTGAAACGTTGCAAATACCAAAACAGTCAGCTGCCACAAATACATGTAGTAAACAAATACCTTAAAATTGATTTATTTAGTTTACGGCTTGATTACGAGCGCGATGATTGAAATAACCTGGACTTACTGACTTTAGAAATAGGTTTCGCAGTTTTATAAGAAGCCACGAATTGTTGCGCAGCAGACTCATATAAAACTGAGGAAATAAGTTAAAAATATGGAATTTAAATGCAGGAAATCTGTTAATCAAGTCGTTTAAGATGGAATCTGATTCTGAGAGCATGTAAGTTATTAGTATTCTGTGTACTCACTAAGAATCATGATAAATCATGTAGAAAGCAAACCAAAAAGAAGCTGCCATTTAAACTAGTCAGTGGTTCTTCCACTTCATTATTTCAGGTAAAGTAGCCGTTATTTGAATTACTTTTCGAAAACCACGTGCGCTCAACTCCTATTCTAACATCTTCCCCACAAAGCGAAATCCATGGTTGCTGGCTGCGACAAAAATGGACTTTTACCTTTTACCTTTGACACACTCAAATCGCCTTCTAACTACTGACCGCGCATTCGACATTCACAAACCAGGCTGGCTTGGTTGGGGGCGATTAAATCCAACCCCGCGGGAAGGCTAACCTACGGATTAGGGCAGCGGACACACCAAATGGTTTAACTGGATGCGTCAGAATCGGCTTGTCATAATAAAAAGGAGTTTACTCATTTGGATCGCAGTTTTATGTTGTGAACACTTTATTAACGCCCACTCAGATATTTTACCTACTGCGTTCTTACTACTATAAACTGGAGTGCAGCTTTTGACGGAAATGTGTGGATTTTCCTAGAGCCCAATAACCTGAGAGACCAATCGAAGAAATTTGGGGAGACCTTTTAAATACGCAAAATCGCCAACAAATTTTCTAAGTGGTTGACATGGCCAAATTATGAAAATAATGCTAGAAATTTGATTTTCGTCGTATAACCATCACCGTACTGGTAACATGAAAAGATGAAAGGATAATGAAAAGTCAGATCGGCATATTATTACTATTGTTACTATCGTGGAACCAAGAAACCCACTAGTCTCTTGGTGATTTGTATTGCAGGCATATTTAGATACGATGATCATACAGAAAGAAACGAAAGCTGAGTAATTCAATGTTAGTAGGTGCCACACGGCTACAAATATTAGGCAATAGCAAACTACCGGAATTGGTGAGCATCGAAAATGACAGATTGTTAAAATGAGGTTATGTGAAGAGAACATGACTATTTACACAAATTAACGTTCCAGATACAATGAATTGTTCATTTAAAGCAGTTTATATGTTGTCGAGACCACCTGCGTACTAAGGCCAAGGACTTTTAAAGACCCTCTTAGTTAAATCCGGATCAGAGGCGTCAAAAGCCTCACGTAAATTGCGAGTTTGACAGTCGTATCGATCAGCCACACGCACAGTACATTCCTTAGCGCCGCATCAGCTTATATTCGGTGCTTAATTATTGCATAGGACGAAAGAAATACATTTGCGGAATGGATTAAGCGAACTCCATTGAAACAGGATGGCAACAATTGCAGGACAGGCAACTTCCCACCATTACGTACACGAGTTCACAACCGATGGAAAATAATGATAATTAATAACATGATATAGCACAATACCTTAATCTAAAAAATAATCAAGAAAGACGTGCGTGACAGCTTGCTGTATGCCGAGGCCTTATCAGCCTTTCATATCAGAACTTTGAATGTGCCGCTTCGGAAGGAATTAATTTTGATGATTGCTGAGGTGGGCGCAAGCATTCAGACATATCTAAACCAGCGTTGTACATGGAAATACCAGAAATGGTAGGTGTTCAACTCACTGTGACATTGACGTAGACGTTGACGCGAGCAGATCCTCCGGTTGTTGTGTCGAGTGCTTCGACAAGAAGGTTGTAATGCGTTGTCTTCTCATAGTCTAACACAGCACCCACCCGAATAACACCTAAATGTGTGCAAAGAGAAGACGTGGCATAGCAATCGGTTCAGCTCGAATGTAGTGAACTGAAGTGGAGAAGACAAACATGCCAGAGAGACAACGAGTACAGACGACAAATGACAAATGAGATGGACGACTTACATGGACTCAACGAGGCATATGCTATCATCACAATAGAAGCAAATTTAAAGTAAAACAAATAAGAACAAATATCGCAAGAAGAGACTCGTAGGAAATACTTTTAACTAGCACAAAATGAAATTCTGATGCTAGGTTAGAATCTTGTAAGGTTTTACCGGAATAAGGGGCGTGATGTCCAATTTCTAGCATCGCATGCAGGCTCTGAGTGAATAATTTACACGTGATTTAATTCGTGCGGCATTTTTCTAGAAATAATTCGCTTCACACACTGAAAATCTCCGTAGAGTCCGTTTAGTAGCCTCTTTGTCAATTTGAGGCAAAGAAACCGAGAGCAATCGATCGGAGGTAAGCAGTCCACGAAAAGCGACCTCATAACACTCTGGTTTAGACAGTTACTTTCTCATCCATTAATAAAAAAGACATTAGATGGAGAAAATAGCCGCGGAGCGGATCATAGGAAAATAGTCTTAGCCCCGGGTAGCGTTCCTGAAAACACCCAAATAACCATTAATGTATAATTGACGTTCTAGATAACGAATGATACTAACCAATTATTTTGCGGAAAATTCCACTCAGGAGCCAGAATTTGATAGCAGACTTCCACTAAGGATAGGTCTTCGGTTCAATTATTGTATTTGGGAGCTATTTTAAGTCATTAGCAAAAAGCCTTTCCGATTCAGGATAGCAAAATGCAGGCATTAAAGTTGGTTGCTTTGCCTACCTTAAGAAGTCCAGGTATTAGAAAAACCTCAAGAGAGCACAATAAGACTGGCTACAAAGATTGCAACTGCTTAAAAGTTGGGCCGTGTTGCATTATCAGCAGCAACATAAGCACTGTTCAAAGGTGCTTAATTGAACGCTGAAGAATAGTGGTCGATCAAGCGTGCGGGCATAGTAGGAGTTTGTACAAAATTTAAGTTAAAGCACACTACATTTTACTCCATTTAATCGAGAGTCACTCGTAGTTGGGGCCTAAGGAGATTCGTTAACGAGGCAGCATTCAGGTCCTTACTTGGTCAATGAATTTCGAACTAATCAGTGGGTGCGTGCACAAATGCTGGGCAAACGCCATGCTGCTTCACCAGGTCTGGGAAAAAAAAAACTAATTCTTCAGTTCGTTTTACAAGTGGACGACTTGCTAGACCTTGACGGACGCAGTGGCGCACGCACGAACTCGCGGGAGATCCGATTTGAGCAGCCCTGCCAGCACGCCTCAGACGTCCGATTGTCAAACTGCATTATTTAGGCAACTACTTCAAAAACCAGGAGCAGCAACAATCAAAACACACACACACACACGCACACCAAAGCTTAGCACTAGTCACAGTTACAAGGCACATCAAGCAAGATACGCAAGGTGAGTAGAGAACAAAAAATAGATTACTTCCAGTGGTCTGTACAAACAGCTTAAGTCCGGCAAAATAAGTTGAGGTTTTATGCGAGAAATGACGGAATGTAAATTTACCGGTATCGTATTCCAATACAAAGGGGCTATCAGTGACACCCGATTTAAGTGCCCCTGCTTCGACCGAAACCAATCGATAGAGTAATGTGCTTCCCGAGGCACTGTGAGCCGTCACACTGGTCACTGATTCGCCAATTTCAGCGCTCTCGGAGACAAACGCCTTGTAATGCGGACTAGCGAACCTTGGACCACGACGACCAGACAACTCGACCTCAACTAGGGCGTCTGTAAACTTTTGCCCTCCGTCGATGGCGCGAACGATGGCCGAGAGCCGTTTGCCGGCCCAATCGGGCGGCACGGAGCGGATAAGAGAAAGACGGCCGGAGATGGGGTCGATCGAGAGGAGCGGTGGTTCGGTGCGCGGCTCGATGCTGATGATGCGGTATGACACTTCGCCGTTACGACCGGAGTCGGCATCTGTTGCCTGAACCTATGCGGTAAGAGATATGTGGTTTTAGGTGCCAGCAGCATTTCCGCGTCTGGAGGGGATGACTAATTTCTAGTTATTGTCAACGCTACCATCCACAGCTTCCGGGTTGGTTGCGGATGCTGATATGACCATTAAACGCCGAAAATATCGACTTGGTTAGAAAAAGGCAAAGGGAGTATCGGCCAAGCAGATAGTACAGAGGACATATACAGGAATCTAACAGCCGTCAGGAGGAATGTTCACATAAGATTGCAGGTAAAGTGTTTTAAATGGGCTCTAGAGACGAAAACGGTCGGAAGCAAAAGAAAGCCTCATTGTCACAGTTGAAGTTTTCAAGCAACTGTGAAGGGAATAAGCAGGGGTACAATGGTTTCAACGCTACTAACGATCTGGAGCAACTAAGTACAAGTTCAGTAATTGAATCTCCAGCTTAACATAGCGGCAAAAACATTTAGGAAACAGAAAAGACATTAGCGTGTGGCTTGATCATCAAATTTCAGGATGACGAGTATGAAGTGAATAGACAACAATTAAGTCCATTATGGCAACTTCAGGAACTAACCTTAAAGTAATTCGACTGACAGGCCTGTCTCAAAAGGGAGAGGTAGTGAGGTGGCGCTCGATCAGGCAGCTTTGCCTGGTCATGCCGTTCCAGGTTTTCCTTAACACAAAATATTGCGTGATAGGGCTGGCCCACAAAAACAGGCGCATGGTCATTGATGTCCTCCAGTTGAATGTTTACGATGCCCTCCCCGAGACGTGGATGACTTGGGCCGGACACAAAGATGTGATCTCGAACAAGAACACGCAGGGTGATGACAGGGCTCACTTCACGATCTAGCTCCGCGCTGGCCGAGACGTCCCCAGTCGCGTACACAGCTCCAGTAAAATGGTCGATAGAAAATGCGCGAGTCGACGCATTTGCGAGTTCAAATCTGAGGAGGGTGGAAAAAGGAATTCGTAGCTATGATCAAGAGAGATGCTAAAGAACATGCGGATACACTGTTTTAACTAGCAGCTAAAAATGATCGAAATTCTTAAAGTCATATTCCACACAAATACCAGCTTCGAAAACAACACCCTAATATTTGCTATCAAACGTCGTCGCAAGCTAAGCGACTCGCACCCCGGGGAGTTGGAGGAGCAAAAGCGGTTAGCATTACTTATGCGAACTCGTCGTCTTCTGATCTGCAAGAAGACGAAAAAATGATTAGATTGTAATCTATATATTCGTAATTTGCATTAGTAGATCGTTGAAGGCTAAAAATATTTAAAAAAAGCATTCGAACAGCATGCAGGGCGTGTGGGAAGGCGCATCAATCAAGACTGACGAATGCACGACGTCGCAATTCAGCATGTTTTCCCGACGTCGAGAGAAATCGAGCAATACTTCATTTGCGACAAAAAAGTGCAAAGGAACCACCATTGAAATTGGAGATGACGTGAGGCAACAACACAAACCTACCGGAAAATCTCTCCTGGAAGCGCATTACGAACGTAGACCTGTCCCAGATACTGTTGGAGGCCATGGTTTGAGAAATGCTCAATAAGACTTATGTTAAGTCCACCAGTAGGTTCTATAATTAATCTTTTCGAAAGATGCGTTGGGTGAATGAGTACGGAAAGATTGTGCGTTGCTGTGTGCACCGATCCGTTATCCTTGGCCTCAATTTGTAGAAGGAATTGTCGCTGGGTAACTGAAGTCAAGGCGGCCAACTGCGACGAGACTCGGAGGACGCCGGTTGAGGTGTCAATTGAAAAGAAACCGTTGCCATTGCCGCCACCGATGTGGTAGGTGATCTTAAGAAAGGAAAAGAGAGGATGCGAATATTTTGCACGTCAGACAAATATTCAGTAATTTAGTCACATAAAGACTGATTCCATGATTCAGAACTACTGACCAGCGCGCCCAAGACAGGTTGTGATTTCGTTAGCTTTTTATGAATGCACGATGGCTCCGTAAAATAAGCTGAACTACCGAGAATGCCTGAGTCTCTGTGGAAAAGTTATTTGAGAATAAGGTGAATAACAAGCACGGATTTGTTATGTGCAGATACATTTACACAGAAGAAAAATGTCGAAACCGGTTGAAAAGTTCGTCCAAAAGTCTCAAGGGCTTGTATTTAAAAATATTTTCATCGCTAGCAAATAGATTCTCAAGTATCATTAGTTTATCGTCTAAGAAACAAATAATAGCACGTAGCCTACTTTACAAAGACACAATTCCGACTTACCAAATCATTTAGATCGGGATCAACTGCATAGAACCGTGCAACTTCTGCACCCTCGTATTGTGGTAGGAAGACATTTGCGACCACCGGATTGAAATCAATGAACTGAGGGGGCGAGTCGTTCACGTCGAGGATCCTCACACGCACACGAAGAAGGGCGTCGGAAGTCAAGGAAATCGGCTCGCCCTGATCCGCCACCTCAATGGTCAGGAGATACTCGGGCACGGTTTCCCGATCTAGCTTGCCCTTGAGATGAAGAATACCCGTATTCGGGTCGATGCCAAACACTTCATCGTGGAGGTCTGCCGCAGGTCCAACAAACTTGAAAGACGGCTGTCCTGCTGGCCCCAAATCAGGGTCGACTGGGCGAATCGTGAGAGCCTTACGACCGCCTTCGGTTTGAACTGGAACCATAGGAAGTGCGGATTCGAAGATTACGCCTGCCATCCAGTGCGAGTCAAGGCGAGGAGGGTGATCATTCACGTCAAGGACAAAAACCTTAATAAAATCAAATAGATCTATGATATATGAACTAGAGCGAAATCGCTAATATTAATTATAACTGTGGAGGAGAGAATTAAATCCCTAATTAAGTCATTTCAAGGTACACTTGTGTGTACCATTTCAATAGGAAAAACGTAAGGTTTCCCAGAAAAATTGAAGTGAAAAAAGCTACGATACCGACCAAAGGCTCTTTCTGGTAGAGCGTTATATGAAAATACTGTCACTTCTGAGTCGTGAAGTTTATCTGGCAAACGTTGTTTGGAATCAGAAAGCGGAATTCGTCCATGTAGACTTCACATAGGAGAGAGCCTTACCTCAATAGTGGCTGTTTGTGGCAGTTTCGCTGGCATCCCATCTACACCTGAAACTTGCACTTTGAGACGGTAGAGGTCCTGTACTTCTCTGTCAAGGGGGACCAAAGTCGCCAATAAACCCGACATCGTCGAAACTGTGAACTTTTCATTCCAGTTGAGAAGTCTGAACGACATCGGGATAGCCACATCCCCTTCTATGTAATCTCTCAAAGAAGTGATAATATGACCAGCTGGGATGTTCTCTGTCACATTAGCGGTGAATATGGATTGGCGGAAGCGAGGAAGAGGGGCAAAGACGGCGCCGGGACCGGGGTTCAGCGAGACTGTGACTACGGTGTGGCTGACGCGACCCCCCAAATCCTGAGCTGCCACGTTTATGTAGTAGGTTGGGGGCCAGTAAACAGAGGTTGGAGCCTGCATGGGCCATAGGTGTTTGTCTAGACGAAGGACTCCGGTTTTGGTGTCGATGGAAAAGTAGTCGGCATGTCGACCTAAGAAAGGATGACGCAATACACAAAAATCGTTGACTGAAGAAAGCTAAATTGATCGAAATCAGAACGGGGACTTTTTTATGTCAAAGCGTCCGTTAAATCTGAACTAGCGAAATCGTCATATGCGTTGCGAATCAGACAAAAAAGTCAATTTGAAGGGTTTCTTTGCACTGTAAGGGTTAATTTGACATGTCAGAATCGTCTAAGCACCGCGACAACAGGTCACAACTCACAAGAGATTGATGACGAAGTCTAAGCGTAATGTGGTCATTGATGCGAGGCGACAGTGATTATAATCTTAATGTAAAAATACAAACGCGATGGCTGGGCACATGCAAGAGAAATTTGCTTGGCGTATCATTAAAACAACAAGAAGACACTGACCTGGAGTGATCGAGTATGAGATGCCTCTTCCCCAATCTCCGTAGAAATCAGGGTCAAAAGCGGACACCCTTCCAATGGTGCTTCCCAGTGGGGTATCCACAGAAACCGCAAAGGAGTTTTGTGAGGCGAATACGGGGGCGAATTCATTCACATCTACCACATGCACAACAACGCTGATGTAGGTCGTCATCGCTTCAGCATCACCAGGGGCGAACAGGGCAATCAGGAAATGGTGCTCCTGGTGCGATTCGTAGTCAAGGCTCTTTGCAATTGTTAGCTCACCTAGAGTATGCGAAAATTTGACATAGAGGCTCCACGCTTAGAAGACACTATAAATATATGATATTGCAAATTGGCACTACAGTGGCTTTTCGATTACATGTCATGGTGTAAACTTATTGAAAAACTCTGCAATTTCATTTGACAAGCGTTAATCCACTGAATCAATCTCCTGTGCGCAAATATGAGATTTCGGTTAAATAATCGTGTCAGACAAATCTACAATCGCTATGAACTCGGTTTGAAAAAAAACCATACGCACGGTCAGAATTAAACTGCGTTAGT